TTGCTGCATGCGCTGCAACGCAAAGGGGGAGGGGGGATGGTATGAGGGTAGCAAGAAGAGGGTATGAGCAGCGGCATGGGTTTGCAGGGCCTGTACTCATAGTTGTTGATGTCAATCTTCTGCTGCATGCGCTGCAAAGGGGGGAGATGGTGGGAAGGAGCGACACAGAGAACAACATCACAGGAAGCAAGAAGAGAACATGAGCGGTAGAATGGGTCTGCATTTCTTGTAATTATAGTTGTTGTCGATGTCCATTCGGCTGCACACGATGCAAGTGGGGACGGTAGGAAGAGTAGGCAAACAACTTGACAGGAGGAACCTTCAGCTCTCACAACTCACCTTCAGCTCTCACAACTCACCTTCAGCTCTTCTTCCAGATCCATTGCTTTCCGCCTGGCAGGTGGTTTAAGCTCCCCAATGCCACTCTTCCTCATCAGCACGCAATCGAGTTGCCTGCAGCGCCGCCCACTCCTGAAGGCGCCTCACAACTCACCTTCAACTCACAAAACTCTCACCTTCAACCCTCACAACGCACCTTCAGCTCTTCCTCTAGGTCTATTGCTTTCCGCTTGACAGGTGACTCCAGCCAGCTCCCCAATGTCGCTCTCCCTCGTCAGCTATCGAGTTGCCTCCAGAGCAGCCCACTCCTGAGGCGCCTCACAACTCACCTTCAATCAACTCACACAACTCTCACCTTCACCCCTCACAGCGCACCTTCAGGTCTAACGGTGTCCGCTTGGCAGGGCAGGAGTCTTCAGCTACCCAATGTCGCTCTCCCTCGTCAGCGATGCGATCGGGTTGCCTCCAGTGCCGCTCACTTCTGAGGTGCCTCAGTCACTACTCCCAACTTCACCCCTCACAACGCACCTTCAGCTCTTCATCTAGGTGTAACGGTGTCCGCTTGGCAGGAGTCTTCAGCTCCCCAGTGTCGCTCTCCCTCATCAGCGATCGAATTGCCTCCAGGGCTTCCCGCTTTGCCTCTCACTCTCACCTTCAGCTCACAACTCTCACCTTAAGCTCTTCTTCTAGGTCTAATGGTGCCCGCTTGGCAGGTGTCTTCAACTCCCCAATGTCACTCTCCCTGGTCAGCGATCTAGTTGCCTCCAGCGCTGCCCACTCACCATCATCCTTGGCTCGCTCCAGGTCTCGCCTGCATGGAATGTATGAAGTGGAAGGGGAGCAAAACGGAGCAGAGAAGAGTTTCCTTTCCTTCCCATGCAACGGACCGATGGTGTTCCTCTCTGCCCACTCGCCATCATCCTTGGCTCGCTCTAGGTCTCGCCTGCATGGAATTTATGAAGTGGAAGGGGAGCAAAACGGAGCAGAGAAGAGTTTCCTTTCATTCCCATGCAACGGACAGATGGTGTTCCTCTCTGCCCACTCACCATCATCCTTGGCTCGCACCAGGTCTCGCCTGTATGAGATGGATGATATTGCAGGGTTCGTGAAATGGAGTAAAAAAAAAAAAAAAAAAGGAGCGGATGAGGGGTTTCTTGCAATGTAACGGACAGACGGTGTTGCTTGCCGCCCAGCAAGTGGGTTGTCACCACTCCCATAATCCTTGGCTCGCTCCTGGTCTCGCCTGTAAGGGATGAGAGCGGCAGCGGAGGGAGCAGCAGCGGAGGGAGCAGCAGCGGAGTGAGCAGCATCGGAGGGAGCAGCAGCGGAGTGAATGGAAGGGGGTTGCAACCCACTCACCATTGTCCTAGACTCGCTCCATGGCTCGTTTGCGTGGGATCAAAGTGAACGGAGCAGCAAGCATGCCTTGGGCCAGGCTAAATCACAAGCCCGAACCACATCTGCCTTGCACCTTGTACTAAATCACAAGTACCTCCATTTATCACACACAGTCTGAACCGCACGTGCCTTGGACCATGTACTAGCCCAGCCCCACGGAACCGACGACCATCATCCTCAGCCTTTTGAGTCGACTCAAAGTCTGCCTTGCACCATGCACTAAAGAACCTCAATCAATTACAAGTCCCACCGCACCTGCCTTGCACCATGTAGCCCAGCCCCACGGATCCGACGACCATCATCGACAGCATCGGTAGCCCATACCGAAGGAACGGCCCAGATTTCCGTGTGTTGGCCAAAACTCCACGTGTCGGCATATCCGAGACCTATAGCATACTCTGGCTGCTAAAAAGAAGCTTCGATCCGTCCTACACGGATTTAGAAGCTGAAATAGAGCACTCAATTCCGAGCTCTTGACACGTTCGTTTCAAAACCCTAAGGACGACCGCGCTAGAGCCTAGAGAAGCATACTAAGGACATGACATATTCTTCACACTAATATTGCGGAAGCTTAGGAGCTTCTGTGTCCTGAGGCTGGAAATTACGGTCGCGATTGCTTCAAGCCATGGTATAATCATGGTGTGGTATCACGACGGAGGGATGTGTTGTGGGCTCCAAGATAAGAAGTTGCGGGTTGAAGTCGAGGAGTCACTCCAATCCGATTGAACTTGAGGAGGATCAGGGTGGATCGCCCTGGGATCGTATGTTAAAACCAGAGTCTCAAAGCGACGGGCAACTTTTGGCAGTGTTGGGTTCAGAAGTTTTTTTTTTTGAACCAGGCTTGCCAGCGCGAAAGTGCTGGCTGGCGAAAACCAGGATTTCGTGCGGACACTTTCCATCCGCAGTAACAGTTCGCCAGGGTTCTGGGTTTTGGGTGGCAAATGTGCACCGTCGCTTCAAGTTCCCTCCAACCAATTGCCTCAACCTTCCTACCTTTGAAAGGGCCACTAGGTCCAACCAACCTTCCTACCTTAGAAACCTGTGGACCTCGGGTTTTAAAGGGTTTCGAGATAGTTCTGTAGATGTCAGAGACGATAAGCGTGGTTTCAATACGGTTAGCAAACCATGATCCTCCTCGATCTTGCCAGCTTTCGATTCTCCCCCGACAGCCAAACGGGTTTCCTCACCGGACTGGGTTGGAGACGGATTCGTGCGAATCTCCGCGACTGACAGGTTCAGTTACAGAAAAAGTGCGACTCTAATCATAACTACGTAACTGATCTGCAGTCGTTATCGGTACAGTGTGAAATCGCCCTCGTACGTAGGGGCCCTAAATAACAAAGCTCTGAACCTTGAAATTTAACTCAGTTTGGGGATTTCCAACAACCAGGCAGCAACCCGTAGTTTCCAAGGCCGTCCTGTCCCTTTTACCAGCCACTTCTAACGTTTCGGACCCATGCCATCCTGACGTGCTTGTCGGTGGTAGGGCACGCTCTAGGCTCGCGCACTATTGAGTTTCCGGAATAGTTGCGTCTGGTCTAGCACACTCTCGGCTCGCGCGGAGTACATTATAATCTGTCAGGGGTGTAGATTTCCGCTGGTCTTCGCTTGAGGAAATGGACAAATCAGAGGCGAAGGATGCTGCAGCGGCGATCGCGGCACCGGGAGCTGGGGACGGCACGTCGACGGAGGCCAGGGTTGCTGCAGACGCGAGTAGCTTCGGATTGCCTTTCATCTTGAATTACTGGAAAGGTATTGAGGTTCGCAGGTTGTTGGGTCGAAAAAAACCGACGCCAGCAGCTCCGGATTGCTCGTTATCTCAATATAGCTGTAAAGTACCGAGAACATGGGTAATATTTCGACATGAGTGTTGGAGTACCGACACTAATGGAAGCTGCGACAATCCCAAGACCTTTTTTCGTCACTCCGGTCCCTCGCCATCATCCTTGTGTTCGAAACGCGTGCCTACTCTTCTCGAGTCAGCTTAAGTTTCGCTGGATATGCCAGCATCTTCACACTCCCGTCCATGTTGGATTTTTAAATGTCAATGCAAGTATAAGTTCATTTCCTGTTCGTGTAGCCTTCCGTGTCTACTCATGTCCCAACGTTCGACTTGGAGACTGAGCACTGGAGTTTGAGATGTTAAAAACGGAACCCTCTTTCTGTGCCGTTTTCCTTTTCCAGAGTTTGACTTGGAAAACGCACGGACGTCTTTGGACGAGCAAGGGCTGAAGATTGAACTTCGAGATTTTCTGACAAAGCAACCCCCCTCTCTGTGTCATTTTCCTTTCCCAGAGTTTGACTTGGAAAACGCACGGACGTCTTTGGACGAGCAAGGGCTGAAGATTGCGGAGAATCAGGAGGCGAGCTCCAAGAACCGGAGGAAGCTGGCCGAGTCAACGCGAGGTAGGCTGTAGTAGAATTGTTGTTTTAAGTTTCCTGAGAGCGAGTTGATTCCTGCAGCAAAGAATCAGGAGGCGAGCTCCAAGAACCGGAGGAAACTGGCCGAGTCAACACGAGGTACGCTGGTATGGGGTCAATAGATTAGTTTTTCTGTAGTTAGTAATGGTTGAAAATTGCAGAGAATCTGGAGGCGAGCTCCAAGAAGAACCGGAGGAAGCTAGCAGAGTCGACACGAGGTAGGTTGAAGTTGATTTGAATCACAGGAGACTAAAGTTAGTAAGAGCTAGACGGCTGCTGCAGAGAAGGAAGGAAGTTTGCAGAGTCAATACGAGGTAGGCCGAATGGAATGGGGTATAATTTTCTTAAGAGTAACAGCTGACATGCTTCGAGCAGCAGCAAGCAAGCAGCAAGAATTGGAGGAATCTAGCAAGCAGAAACCATGAGAGCTGAAGTGGTGTGATGATTGATTGATTTGAAGTGCGGTGAGCCAAGGAAGGAGGACCAACTGCGAACGTGGTGACTTTTGAGTCGACTCAAAAGTCACCTCGAAACCATGAGAGCTGAAGTGGTGTGTGTGATGATTGATTGATTTGAAGTGCGGTGAGCCAAGGAGGACCAACTGCGAACGTTCTTGCCGTGGGTGCTTCTAACTTACCTGCGACAGATATCTTACATTGTGTTGTCAGCTCTGATTTGTTTTGTCGGAAGTCACGACATGGGTTTCCTCTGTATAGAGCATTCTCCAACCACCCCCCTTCTCTGCACTGCTGCAGACTTCAAGAAAGCAGCCAGAGACGAGCAGAGCAAGCTGTTCGGCGCCCTTGATAAAAGTTACATTTTGAGACGTCTATCAGAGCAAAATGTTACTTTTATCACGTAGCCAGAGACGAGCAGAGCAAGCTGTTCGGCACCCTTCTGAAAGCATATCAGGAGGAGGTGGACAAAATCACAAAGCGCATTGGCCTTCCTTCCCCCACTCCCTCTCCTTGCATTGTGCTGCAGACTTCAAGAAGGCAGGTAAAGAGGAGCAGAGCAGGCTGTTTGGCGCCCTTCTCAAGGCATGTCAAGAGGAGGTGGACAATCTCACAAAGCGCTTTAGTATGTGCCCTCTTTTTGTACCTCGTGCAGACTTCAAGAAGGCATGGCAAGAGGAGGTGGACAATCTCACAAAGCGCTTTTGGTGTAGATAGAAGGGAGGCTTACGGTGTCGTCATTCATTCCCCACCACAACCCCTTCCTTTCACTCGTGCAGACTTCAAGAAGGCAGGTAAAGAGGAGCAGAGCAAGCTGTTCGGCGCGTGGACAACCTCACAAAGCGCATCAGTCCACAGGCACCCCTCAAAGTACCTCCCCCACCATACCACACCGTTCTCCCTCTCTGTACGCCTGCAGACTTCAAGAAGGCGGGTAAAGAGGAGCAGAGCAAGCTGTTTGGCGCGCTTCTTAAAGCCTATCAAGAGGAGGTGGACAATCTCACAAAGCACATTGACATTCCCCCCCACCCCCTCTCCTTGCATTGTGCTGCAGACTTCAAGAAGGCAGGTAAAGAGGAGCAGAGCAGGCTGTTTGGCGCCCTTCTCAAGGCATGTCAAGAGGAGGTGGACAATCTCACAAAGCGCTTTAGTATGTGCCCTCTTTTTGTACCTCGTGCAGACTTCAAGAAGGCATGGCAAGAGTAGGTGGACAATCTCACAAAGCGCTTTTGGTGTAGATAGAAGGGAGGCTTACGGTGTCGTCATTCATTCCCCACCACAACCCCTTCCTTTCACTCGTGCAGACTTCAAGAAGGCAGGTAAAGAGGAGCAGAGCAAGCTGTTCGGCGCGTGGACAACCTCACAAAGCGCATCAGTCCACAGGCACCCCTCAAAGTACCTCCCCCACCATACCACACCGTTCTCCCTCTCTGTACGCCTGCAGACTTCAAGAAGGCGGGTAAAGAGGAGCAGAGCAAGCTGTTTGGCGCGCTTCTTAAAGCCTATCAAGAGGAGGTGGACAATCTCACATAGCACATTGACATTCCCCCCCACCCCCTCTCCTTGCATTGTGCTGCAGACTTCAAGAAGGCAGGGAAAGAGGAGCAGAGCAAGCTGTTCGGCGCGCTTCTCAAGGCGTATCAGGAGGAGGTGGACAACCTCACAAAGCGCGCCAAGTTTGCAGAAGCATCCTTTCTTGGTGTCTATCAGAAGCTCTACGAGGCCCCGGATCCCGTGCCGTCCCTGGCGTCTGCTGCTGTGAGTGCTCGTTGTTGCATTTGTTTGTAGCATGCACTGCAGATGTTGAGTTGAGCAGCCTTCCTGGGCGTGTACCAGAAGCTCTACGAGGCCCCGGATCCCGTGCCGTCCCGGGCGTCTGCTGCTGTGAGTTTCCATTCCAGAAGCTTAGTGCTGTAACCTGTGGCAGCATGAGCATCATTTGTAGAAGCTGGGGTGTGTGCATATTGAGCAGCCTTCCTGAGTGTCTACCAGAAGCTCTATGAGGCCCCGGATCCCGTGCCGTCCCTGGCGTCTGCTCTGCTGCTGTGAGTGCTAGTCTTAGGATGCCAAAGCTGTTGTAACCATGCAAGTTTTGAGCAGCTTTCATGGGCGTGTACCAGAAGCTCTACAGAGCTCCGGATCCCATGCCATTCCTGGCGTCTGCTGCCATGAGTATCCGTGCTAGCTTCTTACTGCTGTTGTTGTAGCATGTGCGCCTGTTTCTAGAAGCTGCGGCATGCACAGACAGGGTGACTCGAGCAGCCTTCCTGGGTGTCTACCAGAAGCTGTACGAGTTTCCGGATCCCGTGCCATCTCTAACGTCTGCTGCAGTAAGTTCCCGTTCTAGGATGCTAGACCTCTCTGTAGTCCTGCGCCTATTGAGCTACCTCAATCAGTGTGGATCAGACGCTATATAAGGCACCATACCGTCCCTGGCATCTTCGCTGTGAGTATCTGTTCCATCCCAGGCAGTTAATTTCCTCGTCCCACACTCATCTCTACCCCTCCCATCTCAACCCCTTCCCACTCTCATCTCATCTCAACCCCTTCCCACTCTCATCTCATCTCAACCCCTTCCCCTTGCCTCTCCAGGAGGTGGCAGCGAACGTTTCTGAGCTGGCGGCGGAGAATCGGCGCATGCATGCTGAGCTGGAGGAGTTCCGGTCTGAGTCAGCACATCTCAAGAACCAGCAGGCGACTGTGCGACGGTTGGAGGAGAGAAACCGACAGCTCGAGCAGCAGGTGGGTGAGGAAGGCAGGTAGGCAGATGGAGCAGTGCAGCAGATGGGTGGGAAAGGTGTTTTGAGTTGAATGAAAAATCACCTCCATGTCAGCGCACCTGAAGAACCAGCAGGCGACTGTGCGACGGTTGGAGGAGAGAAACCGACAGCTCGAGCAGCAGGTGGGTGCTTAAGGGGCAGCTGGAGCAGTAGGTAAGAGGGGAGGGGAAGGTATAGGGCCTAGGGGGCAGCTGGAGCAGCAGATACTGCCCTGTATGTTTGCAGGCATGTCCCTTCATTTTCCTTATCCTCTGTGTGCATCTGATGGAAGAGAAGGTGAAAGAGATGGTGGCGATGAAATTGCATGTGCTCCTGATTCATCAGGCTGTGTGACTTGTTTCGTTACATGTCGGCCCATTCCTCTGTGTGTGTGTGTGTGTGTGTGTGTGTGTGTGTGTGTGTGTGTGTGTGTGCACATGCACGGCAGATGGAGGAGAAGGTGAAGGAGATGGTGGCGATGAAGCAGCATGTGCTGGCAGAGGAGAGTCAACGGAGCATGGAAACCCTCAAGTCAAGGCAAGTCAACGCTGGTCAACGCAGGTCAATGGCCAACGCAGGTCGTACAGGGTCAGGGCAAGTGTGCATGTGTATGCATCAGATGGTGGCGAAGAAGCAGCATGTGCTGGCAGAGGAGAGCCAACGGAGCATGGAGACACTCAAGTCAAGGCAAGTCAACGCTGGTCAATGTAGGGTCAAGGCAGGTCAAGGTAGCTCAACCCTGCCTTCCAGGATCCTTTGTTTCGGGTCATTTGAATGAGTGTAAGTCAGCGCAAATTCACGGCTTTGGAATCCTGGACTAGTTGCGGCTTTTTGGTTTGGTAGCCTCACATTCTTCACCACACTTCACCATCACTTCCACTCCTGGTTCCCCTGTTTCTGCTCTTGCTTCTGCCAACCTCCCTTCCTCCCTCCCTCCCTCCCTCCCTCCCTCCCTCCCTCCCTCCCTCCCTCCCTCCCTCCCTCCCTCCATCCTGACGACGTGAGGCTTCCCAAAGACAGTCAATTTATAAGGCTCCTCAGAATCTCTTCCTCCCTCCATCCTCTGCTCTCCTCCTTACCTCCCCCCGTCAACAGAGAGGATGCACTGCAGGAGCAGCTGAGGGCTGCGAGGGAGACAGTGAGCAACATGCAGCGACTGCACGAGATGAGCCAGTCACAGCTGTTCGAGCTCAAGGCGCAATCAGGTGGGCATGCAGTACTGATGGTTTCACAGCACAATGTGGCAGCACCGGCCAGACCAGATGGTCTACACAGTGAGCAACATGCAACTGCTGTACGAGATGAGCCAGGTGCAGGGCCCACAGTGCAGTGCAGTGCTGGTATGTCTTTCTCCGTCTCCCCTCCCTGCTGCATCCCGTCTTCGTTCTGCCCTCACCCCTGCTTGCCCTTCCCCGTTCTTCTGTATTGTTGTCCATCAGAGGAGGATCGCGCGTCGAAGCAGGGCGAGGTGACTCTGCTGACAGACGAGGTGGAGCGAGCTCAGGCACGGCTGCTGGCTCTGGAGAGAGAGAAGGTGAGGTGGAATGAGATTGGAGGAGTGGTGCTTTCACAACGAATGTGCTGTTGGGTTGGGTGTTGCAGTGAGGGAGGGAGTGAAAGCAGGGCGAGGTGACTCTGCTGACAGATGAGGTGGAGCGAGCACAGGCACGGCTGCTGGCTCTGGAGAGAGAGAAGGTGAGGTGGAATGAGATTGGAGGAGTGGTGCTTTCACAAGAAGTGTGCTGTTGGGTGTTTCAGTGAGGGAGGGAGGGAGTGAAAGCAGGGCGAGGTGACTCTGCTGACAGATGAGGTGCAACGAGCCCAGGCACGGCTGCTGGCTCTGGAGAGGGAGAAGGTGAGCGGGGTGGGAGCCTGAGGTGCACTGGGTGAGGAGAGTGAAAGCAAAGCGTATTGGACCAGGAGGAGCAAGCATAGTCACGACTGCTGCCTTTTGAGAGAGAGAAGGTGGGCGGGGGGAAGAGAACGTGAGGTGCGGTACAGTGAGATACAGTGGGATGCAGTGGGATGCAGTGGGATGCAGTGGGATGCAGTGGCCTGTTGCTTCTTCCCCAACCTGTCTGTCCCATTCTCTCCCCCTGCACGCGCTGCTCCCATCACTCTCCAGGAAGCTCTCAAGGCGCAGCTGCAGACTGCACAACCTAGTGAAGCAGCAGATGGCGAGAGGTGAGCTGCTATCACCAATTCCTGCTGTTTCTGCCGCCACCTCATGTGCACTCATACGCACTTGCTTTCGCCTCTCTAAAGCTCTCAAAGCGCAGCTGCAGACTGCACAACCTAGTGAAGCAGCAGATGGCGAGTGGCGACAGGTGAGACGCTGCTGCTGCCTTTGTTTTATGCTGTTGCTGCCACCACCTCATGCGTGTTGCTCATTCATGTCTCTCTCATCTCATGTTGCACGGTGCAACCCTCTTGTTCCCTCTGATGCTCGTCACTCTCTTGTTCTCCATTATCCACGTCACATTGCATCCGCCCCCTGTGGTGATAGCATCGCTGCATCAGGAGCTGCAAGCACTGGAGGCAGCAGGGGCAGCTGAGAAGGATAGTCCCTTTACCCATACATTCTCCTCCTTTTTCCCTTGTGTTTTCCTCTGCCTCTCTCCTCTGCCTCTCTCCTCTGCCACCCTATCTGCAGCACGGACAGCAACGGTGCAATCCGATGGGAGGCGGCAGTACGAGCCAATGAGGCGGTGATAGCATCGCTGCATCAGGAGCTGCACGCATTGGAGGTAGCAGGGACGGGAGGGGTGGTCCCGGCCAATCCCAGACTCATTCCCCTTACTTTTCTTGTCCCTCTTCCCCGGACCGGACCCTGCCTCCCTCTCCCCATCCTCCCCTCCCCTTCCTATGCAGCACGGACAGCAGTGGGGCAATTGGATGGGAAGCAGCAGTACGGGCAAAGGAGGCGGTGATAGCATCGCTGCATCAGGAGCTGCACGCCCTGGAGGCAGCAGGGGCGGCAGAGAGGGAGGAGCAGAGGGCTGAGGTGAAGCGACTCAAGGCGCTGCTGCAGGATCAGGTGGGGTATCTGGGCAGGATATGCGAGTCGAGACGTTTCGAAAGTAGGGTCGACAGAGGGCAGAGGGCAGAGAGCAGAGATCGGAGGTGAAGCGATTGAAGGCACTGCTGCAGGATCAGGTGGGCGTTTGGGTGGATAGTGCTGTTGGTGGGAGGCAGCAGTACGGGCTGGGTAAGCTGTGTAAAGTGCTGTTGGTGGGAGAGAAGGAGGAGCAGAGGGCAGAGGTGAAGCGACTCAAGGCATTGTTGCAGAACCAGGTGGGCGGTTGGCCGTGGTCCATGTAGTTTGGGGGGTATTGCGGGGTGGATAAAGGATGTCTTGAGGTTAAAAAGAAATGATGGAGTAGCTGGGTGTGCTGTGTAAATGGTTGTCAAACAAGGCGGGTTGGTGGAAGAGAGGAAGAAGGCAGTAGGCAGAGGGAGTGAGAGCACCTTTCTTGTGTGACCCACTTTCGACCTGCTTTTCATGCCTGGTTCTTCAAGTAACCAGCACTCGGGGTTCCATGGCCCTAGTTTGCGATTATATTTGTATCAATATAAATATATAAATGATAATGATTCTGCTTCTATTTTTTCTCCTGATGGCCTCTTCCGTCTCACATCCCACCTCTCATCACCCACTTCCCAACTTCCCACTGCCCGAACCACTTCCCACCCGTCACCACTGCGCCCACCCCATCACCAGGAGTCGTCCGTGATTGCGCTGAGAGCGGAACTGGCAACGACTTTTGAGGCGCCTCAAAAGCCGAACCACTTCCCTCCCGTCACCACTGCCCCCACCCGTCACCACTGCGCCCACCCCATCACCAGGAGTCGTCCGTGGTTGCGCTGAGAGCGGAACTGGCAATCAGGCCCACGCAGAGGCAGTGGGAGGACCTGCGGAAGCAAGTGAAGATCCTGCAGGTGAGAGAGGGAGAGCAGAGCAGTGCAGTGCAGGCAAGACAGCATTTTGCAGCATCAGCAGTAGACGCGCGGCACACACAGCATACAGGTGCTGCAGGGTGTTTTTGAGAATTCTCAAAACACCCATCAGCAGTAGAAGCGCGGCTCAGCATACAGGTGCCAGCCAGCCAGCAGGTGGGTGGAACTGGCAACCAGGCCCAAACAGAGGCATTGGGTGGGAGGACCTGTACAAGCAAGTGAAGTGAGGGGCAGTGTGGACTGGACTGGACAGTCAAGGTGGGCGAGCGCGAGAGCAGTGCATTTGTGCTTATTTTGCCTTGTAGAATCGTCCACCACACCAAGCTCTCAATGAGGTCATGACGTCAACGCTCCTTTTCCCCCTCCCTTCCTACACCCACCCACCACCCCTAGGCTGTGGGCTACAATGCAGTGGAAGTGGACGACTGGGATGAACCAGGCATGGCATCCAACGGCCCAGGATCGTCCTCCGATCTCTCAGCTGCTGCAGATGGGGAGAGTGGGAAGGGGGGAGGGGATGGGGGAGTGATGCGCAGCAGCAGTGGGGCTGACATTGGAAAGCTGGAGGCGTTGCTGCTGGAGAAGAACAAACGGATGGAGCACGAGTTGACCCAAGTCAAGGTGAGTCAACGCTGGTCAATGTGAGTGAGGCCCCAAGATCTGCGAACACTAAATGAGGGAGGCCTGGGAAGGGAGTGATGCGCAGCAGCAGTGGGGCTGACATTGGGAAGCTGGAGGCGTTGCTGCTGGAGAAGAACAAGCGGATGGAGCACGAGCTGACTCAAGTCAAGGTGAGTCAACGCTGGTCAACTGACAGCTGTCAGCGCTAGGAGCACTATGGAGTGAGAGGAACGAGGAGTGCCTTGTGCTAGCACAAGGCACAGTTGGCAGCACTGGAAGGCACAGTGGCGGAACAGAGAGCGCTCGCTCATAGGCAATCTGGATTCTGGAGAATGACATTCCCAAGGGCGCTGTTTGCATTGTCCTGCCTCCCCTGTTTCTCCCCTTACCTGTATCCTCCTTCCCCCGTTTCATCCCTCCCCATTTTCCCTCCTTCCCTGTTTCCCTCCTCCCCTCCTCCATTCTCACACCCTTCCTGATGCGACAGAGTGAGAGGGAGGAGTATGAGCAGGCGAAAATCAAGTTTAGGGTTTAGGGTTTAGTATGAGCGACGCTAGAAGGCACAGTGGCTGAGCAGAGGGCGCTCATATGCAAACTAGAGGATGATGTTCTCAAGGAACCCGTTTGCATCGACCTGCCTCCCATATTTCACCCCTGCCTTGTCTCTCCCATCCCCTGTTTCATACTTTCCCCGTTTCCCTCCTCCTTTCCGCCCTCAAACGCCCCTCCTCCAGATGCGTCTTAGTGAGAAGGAGGAGGAGTGTGATCAAGCAAGCGCCAAGGTAGCAGCACTGGAAGGCACTGTGGCGGAGCAGAGGGCGCTCATAGGCAAACTGGAGGACGACATTCTCAAGGGCCCCTTCTTATCGATCCCTCTCCCTTGTTTCCCGCCTCTCCTCCTACCTCTACCACCCTCCAGATGCGTCTGAGTGAGAAGGGGGAGGAGTGTGATGAGGCGAAAGTGAAGACAGCAGCACTGGAAGGCACTGTGGCGGAGCAGAGGGCGCTCATAGGAAAACTGGAGGACGACATTCTCAAGGGCTATGGCGCACGGGACAGGCACCGGGCGGCGTCGGTTGGCAGCATTGTCTCGATGCCTGGAGCAGCGGGTGGCAGCGGTGGTGGGGATGGTGGCGGTACAGGTGGCAGCGGCGGATTGGTGGATGATGATTCGGTGCTCATGGTGGTGTGCGGGCAGAGGGACAGGTTTCGACAGCGAATGGGAGAGCTGGAAGAGGTGAGAGAGGGGGGGGGAAGGGAGGGGAAAGAGGGCAGGGATGGAGACGGGAGTTGTTGAGGAGATGGGTATGGGACGAGGAGACCGCGTCGGTACATCACCCTAACTCATGGTGGTGACAACTTTGAACACGCTCTGAATGCTCATGTCACCTCTCTAACTCCTCCTTATCACCCCTCTTGCTCTTATGCTGCCAGGAGCTGCGGGCAGAGAGGGAGAGGAGCGGCAAGCTGGCAGCAGAGGTGGAGCGGTTAAAAGCTGACAACGTTGAACGCACACTCTGCATTCTCATGTCACCCCTTTTGAATCCTCCTGTCACCCTCTTGCTCTGATGCTGGCAGGAGCTGCGGGCAGAGAGGGAGAGGAGCGGCAAGCTGGCAGCAGAGGTGGAGCGGTTGAAAGCAGACAACGTGAAGCTTTATGAGCGCATGCGATATGTGCAGGACTACACAAGTGCAGGGGGAGGGGACAGACCCAACAGTAGCCGATCGAGAAAGGTATGTGGGAGCAGTGTACATGGCTCTCTATACGGCGAATATAAGTTGAAGGCGGACAACGTGAAGCTTTATGAGCGCATGCGATATGTGCAGGACTACACAAGTGCAGGGGGAGGAGGGGGTGACAGGCCGAACAGTAGTCGATCCAGGAAGGTATGTGTGGGCTGGGCATTGTACCCTTGTATGGGGCTAGTACTGTTTGAAAGCAGACAACGTGAAGCTGTATGAGCGCGTGCGATACGTGCAGGACTACACAAGTGCCGGGGGAGGGGGTGGTGACAGACCAAACCCCAGCCGATTGAGAAAGGTGCGTGTAACTATCATCCTATTCGGATATAGCTGGACCAGAGGGTTGAAAGCCGGCAATGTGAAGCTGTATGAGCGCATGCGCTACGTGCAGGACTACACGAGCGCTGGTGGGGGAGACAGACCCAACAGTAGTCGATCCAGGAAGGTATGTGTGAGCAGTGTACCCATCGTCCCATGGGGCTATTACTGGTTGAAGGTGGACAACGAGAAGCTGTATGAGCGCATGCGATACGTGCAGGACTACACGAGCGCTGGGGGAGGGGGAGGGGGGGACAGACCCAACACTAGTCGATCCAGGAAGGTATGTGTGAGCAGTGTATTCGTCTTCCTATCGGGCTATTACTGGTTGAAGGTGGACAACGAGAAGCTGTATGAGCGCATGCGATACGTGCAGGACTACACGAGCGCTGGGGGAGGGGGAGGGGGGGACAGACCCAACACTAGTCGATCCAGGAAGGTATGTGTGAGCAGTGTATTCGTCTTCCTATCGGGCTATTACTGGTTGAAGGTGGACAACGAGAAGCTGTATGAGCGCATGCGATACGTGCAGGACTACACGAGCGCTGGTGGGGGAGACAGACCCAACTCCAGCTGTTCGAGAAAGGTGTGTACACTTCCTACTATGTACCTGTCTTCCTATCTGGGTAGGTATATCTTCCCCAGAGGGCTGCAGCTGTTGAAAGCGGACAATGTGAAGCTGTACGAGCGCATGCGATACGTGCAGGACTACACGAGCGCTGGTGGGGGAGACAGACCCAACTCCAGCCAATCGAGAAAGGTGTGTGGGAGCAGTGTGACAGTGTACCTATCTCTGTTTGGGGCTAGTAGTGGTTGGAGTAGTATGAGCCGACAACGTGAAGCAGTATGAGCGCATGCGCTACGAGGAGAGACCATCAACCCCTTCCTTCACTGCCCAACTTCCATCCTTTTGAGTCGGCTCAAAAGTGAGCGCATGCGCTACGAGGAGAGACCATCAACCCCTTTCTTCACTGCCCAACTTCCATCCTACTTCCTGTGTCCACCACCACCCATTACCCCCTGCCTCCTTCCATATCGAACCCCAAACAGGAGTCATGGTCTTTGCGTAGCAGCAGCAGCTTTTAGCAAACTGTTTGTTTAGTGTGTGTAGAAACTTGCTTTGAAAACCTTGTGTAAAGGAATGATGGCGGTAACTAGTTTCGGCTCTTCGAGCCTTCTTCAGACCACCACCACTTCCATCCTACTTCCTGTCTCCACCACCACCCATTACCCCCTGGCTCCTTCCATATCAGAGCGACATAGAGGCGGGCCCAGCAGCAGATGTGGAGAGCAAGTACAAGAAAATCTACGAGGAGAGACCATCAACCCCTTCCTTCACCGCCCTACTTCCATTCAACTCCCGGTCTCTTCCACCACCCATCTTCCCGTGCCTCCTTACACACCAGAGTGACATCGAGGCGGGTCCAGCAGCGGACGTGGAGGGCAAGTACAAGAAGATCTACGAGGAGACAATCAACCCCTTCACTGCTTTCTCCACCAAGGTACTGCTCAAGTACTGCAGAAATTCGATGCTTCTGTTGCTGTGTATTTGGAGGCGCCTCAAAATTCCCCACCAAGGTACTGCTCAAGTACTGCAGAAATGTTATGCTGCTGTTGCTGCGGCTGCGACTGCGGCGGCCGCCGGTGTTCCTATGCAAATCGATTATGCGCCACAGTAATGGGCCTATGTTGCTACTTGGCGTTATGCTGTTCCTTAGTTTCTGTCACACTGTGTGCACATGCCTCAGAATATGATTTTCTCAGGCTGTGAGCGTGGGGGTGGGAGTATCATGGGTTCCTTTACAGTGCTCCACAGTTTCTCTCATCATCTTGTGACTTGTCATGTGTACGTTTATGCATGTCACCCCAATTGCTGCTTCGCTATGGATGCAATGTGAACAGGAGAGGGAGCAGCGGGTAAGGGACCTGGGTCTGCGAGACAGAATCACCCTCACCAGCGGCAAATTCCTCCTCTCCAACAAGTCAGTCCCTCATCTCATCTAGTTTCATTCCTCCACTCATTTCATCTCCTCCTTCCTTCTTCCTCCCGCCCTGTCTCCATCCACACCACCCTTTGCCAGCCTCACCTTTCAAACTGTGTATCACACAGTTTTTGAGTCGACTCAAAAGTTGTATCACACAGTTTTTGAGTCGACTCAAAAGTTGTATCACACAGTTTCTGTCCGCGTGCATATTGGCAGATCTTGTAACATCCATGTGTCCATGCCCATGTGTCCACGTCCTTGTGTCCACTCCCATGTGTCTACTCCTCTCTCCTCTTACATCCTTCGCACTTTCCCAAGAAATCATATTCTGTTCCCTCCCTTGCGCTCTCCCACGTATGCACACATTTCTGACGTCCTCTGTGGCGCCTGATGGTTTTTTTTTTGGGGGGGGGGGGGGGCAATATAAATTTGAAGAAAAGCTTCCTCTCTTCCCTCCCTTCTCCCAGGTATGCGCGCACGTTTGTCTTCTTCTACTCCATTGGCCTGCATATCCTCGTGGCTCTCAGCATGTACCGCCTCTCCAGCCTCAGCCATGCCAGGTCAGCATGCATGCATGAGTGCATGATGATTCGTGTATCCATGCCACATGCATATCCATGTGTCTCTCAGCATGTACCGCCTCACCAGCCTCAGCCATGCGAGGTCAGCATTCGGGCATATATGTCTGATTCAAGAGATGGCCCATGTGCATGCTTGGACATGCTTTCTTTCTTTCCTTCCTGGCCTTGGAGCATGGCTCACGACTGCAACTTGCAACCCTCTCCTTGTCCCCTCCGCTTTGGGTTTCAGGATAAAGTTTGACTAGGATGAGCTTCCATCGAAACACTCTCTATTGACCGCTGCTCTGAGGTCACGCAATGCCACATTGGGCGGTGGTCATTCGACTGGTTGAGAGAAGCAGTGAAAGCCTGTGAATATGATTAACGATAGATGCATGTATATTATGATGCATTTCTCAACAAAGCGGTTATCACATTATGCCAGATTTCCCCTGCGCTGTACACTGCAGTCAGCTATAAAATGTTTATTTGGCAGTCAACTTAAACTACAGAGCTTGCATGTTGATTGTACTTGGTGGATATTCTTGTAGCGGATTCCCATCAGATCTTGTTGCGTCACGGTAAAAGTAGAACGAATGGTAGCTTTGTATGAGTCAGGTCGGGTCAGATCAGGTTGGGTCTGGTCGAGTGGGGTTCATGTGCTTCCACGTAGCCGAATGCTGCAACCACGCCGCCACTGAATTCTATCATAAAATTCTTCAGGGACCAACTAATTCTCAGCGTTGTCGGCTTGATAGCTAAAATAGACCGTCCCAATGGACTCAGTATTGGAATTGAATGTTAGGTGACGATCGCGTGAAACGATACGCTCCTTGATAAGGGGTCCCGCAGACATGGCTTCGAAGCGGCGAGACGCAGGGAAGGAGATAAGCGATGATGTGATTCAATCTAGCGATAGCGACTGCAACGGTCATGTGCTTGTATTGAAGCACGTGCCTGCGACCGCGAGCCAGGAAGTGCTGGATCAAATTCTGCAACGGTTCGGAGCGGTGGAAGTGGTTAGCAGGTGAGTGGTAAGCAAGTGCGTCGTTTGCAGGTAACTGGGTTAACAGGGGAATGAGGCCAACACGCTGATTGGTGTTCCAGGGATGCAACTGCACGACCTAGGAGCACAGCAGAGAGTGGTAAGCTTTCAGCTGTACAGCACAGAGCCTGCTGAGACAACTTAACACCCATCCAAACCGCACACCTGACTCTTTTCCGCCTATACTCTCTCTCTCTCCAAATTCGTCCCCACCAGAAGCAAGGGAGTGATGTATGCGCGATCCAAGGCGCCAAGTGCAGTCACAGCCAGGAAGCAACTCAATAACGTTCTCCCCCACACGCCTTCCATCTCCCACTGTGCGCTCTCTTGCTTGCTTCATCCCAACCAGGAGCAAGGGGGTGGTGTACACGCGGTTCAAGGCGCAGAGTGCGGCAGTGACGGCCAAGAAGCAACAAGGTAGCCTTTTCCTGCACACACCTTGCTTTTCCGCCCATGCTCGTTCCCCATTTGTCCTCATCAGGAGCAAGGGGGTGGTGTACGTGCGGTTCAAGGCGCAGAGTGCGGCAGTCACAGCCAAGAAGCAACTGCATTGGTAGGATTTCTCCTTCTATTCCTTACTCCTTTGCTTTCCTTTCCACACCTTACTCCTGTGCATGTTAAAACCGTTTCCGAGCATTCCAATAGCGAGCTATGACTTCATATCATACCCCTCATTGTGCTCTTACTTCTGAAAATAATCGTCGTCAGTTCTCCTTCGTCTTTCAATTCTTAGCTTACCCATCGCTCTTGCACCTTCCTCTCCCCCCAACCCAACAGCATTCGCATGGGCAGCAACGTACTATCAGCTCACTACTTCCCTCCCTCTCATCCCACCAACCACAATGAACCGCACACCACACCTGGCAACCCTGCTCGGGCTGCTGCTACCACCCTTGCCTCCGCTGCTGTTGCCACTGGCGCCAACATGCGTAGTCATGATTCAATTTCTCAGCGGCCAGACGTCCTCATGTGCTCCTCCCCGCCTTCCCCTCCACACTCGGTAGCAGCTAGGTGAACCAGCAAAGGCTGCTTGGTTGGTTGGTGCTGGCGAGCAGAGGAGGGGAAGGAGAGGCAAGCAGTGATGCGAATGGGGGACACACGGCCTATTTTTGAGACACCTAGAAAATCCACATGGCCTCTCAGTGACAAGGTGGTTTCATTCCGAGAACAATGAATCAAAGGCAACCCATCCCTTCCACCTTCTACCTCCTTCTCTATACCCTCTCCCTCCCCAGCTTCCCCCTTCCCTGCCTCGTCTCCACTCCACAACTCCTCCCTCAAATGCACCGGATAATGACGCTTTTCCAGATGCACCGCATAGAGACACTCCTAAGATACGCTGACTCTGCTGCGCCTCCTCCTTACCGATCCCACAGGTGCATGGCGTTGTCCACGTGGCGCTGCTGCATTATCTCGTGGCGCCACCTGGCGAGAGGGCATTGGGGGAGACGGGAAGGTGCGGAATCGGATTAAGAGGGCTTTATAAGATAGGTCACTGTTGTGAAGCGGGTGAGATACGAACGCATGTTAGAAGCACACCCGCCAGAAGCACACCCGCTAGAAACACACCAGCTGCAAGCACACCTGTGTCGCACAGCGCGGAACATCCGCTCTTCCGCTTTGAATCGCCTCTCCTCCGCGCGGAACGCCACGTCATCCGCGCGCCACCGGCGCAGCTCTTCGCGCCACCGGCGCTCCTCCTTCCGCCAATCCCGCGCCGTCCACGTGTCCAGCGCCGTCAGCGCGGCTTGCGCCATGGTGGCCGCGCCGCGTCTCTGTTTTCTTGTACACGCGCTGCTAGACGAAGAACTTTGATTGGACAAGACATGACATGGGCTTTAAGTGTCAGTGTCGGTCGCCATTGTTGCGACGGGCAAAGCATAAGGAAGTAAGTTGGGTACGAGCTTTAAGTACGTCCTTGGACAGTCGCCTTGGACAGTCGCCTTAGTTATGGGTGATGGTGAGAATCGCGTGCCCTGGCGCATGTCACGCATGGCAACAAATGTTTTTTTTGTGGCGAGGATATGCACATTGTGATGTTGAAATATTCGTTTCTGTAGTGTGCAATGTTTTATGTAATGCACAACACCAAGCACTTTAAATGATTCCCTACAAGACAGCATTTATCGCGTACAGAACCCCCTGAACCTGAACCCGCTCATCACCACTGCCACAATCCCATACCTGACACCACCCAGAAGCTCATCTTTATTTTCCCAAGCTCCAACAGCCATTTCGCGTCGTGCTGACCTGGCAGCATTGCCCTGGTTTCGTCGCCTGCGAACTTCACGGTCGAAGTGGATTCGACGGATTCGACCAGGCAAGGACGCGTTATTGCCCTGTGTACGGTGCTTTCCGTTTCTTCGGCCATTCCGTTCTGATTGGTCTGTCTCCGTCTCAATCCCGAGACCCTCAATCAGTCTCGAACGTCGATCATTCTCAGGCGTCGATCAATCCGGGCCGTCGAACAATCTCGATCGTCGATCAATCTTCAGACCGTCGTTTGATACTGACCGTTGATATTGGATTGGATAAAAGCCAGCAGCCATGGGTGTCCTGGAGAGGATCAAGGAGATCGAGCTGGAAATGGGGCGCACGCAGAAGAACAAAGCCACAGGTGAGTTCCTTGGGTGAATGTCACGGATGGGCGTTACGGATGGGACATTGACCTCGTGAATGCCGCGGATGGGTGTCACGGGTGGGTTTCACGAGTGGTGCAGGTGTGCGTGCAATCATTCAGCCAGACTCACATCCCTCAATGATTGCACTGAATGATCATTGCGCTATAATGATGATTCTCGTCGCATACTCACATGGTCTCATGGTCGCATGCTGGTTTGCCGTCAATGTCCAAGTTCCCTTTCTGATACGTCTAAAAAATTGTCGCATGGTCTCATGGTCGCATGGTCTCATGGTCGCATGGTCTCATGATCGCATGGTCTCATGATCGCATGGTCTCATGGTCGCATGGTCGCATGGTCTCATGGTCTCATGATCGCATGATCTCATGATCGCATGGTCTCATGGTCGCATGGTCTCATGGTCGCATGGTCTCATGATCTCGTGGTCTCATGGTGGCATGCCGTTAATGCCGTCAGACGCAGACAGGTGGGCTGCGGAGGTCTTACTTCCATCAATCTCGTGGTCTCATGGTGGCATGATCTCATGATCTCGTGGTCTCATGGTGGCATGCCGTTAATGCCCTTGTTCCCTCCTACTAGCTTCCCCTCTGTATTGCCATCTCTCAATGTGTATTCCATCCTCGTTATTGTCTCTCTCTAATTCCTCCCCGCTATGCAGAGTACCATCTGGGTCAGCTCAAGGCGAAGCTTGCTCTCCTGCGAACATTCATCCTCGTTATTGTCTCTCTCGTATCCCTTCTTGACGTGCAGAGTACCATCTGGGTCAGCTCAAGGCCAAACTAGCTCGCCTGCGAACACAGCTGCTCGAACCAGCCAAGGTGCGGTCTGTACGCCATATAAGCCGTGCTCGTTATAAATACAGCTCTTGGAATCAGCCAAGGTGCGGTCTGTACGCCATGTATCATGTGCCTTAAAGGGACCAGCCAAGGAGTGGTCTGTACGCCATATAAGCCATGCGTTTTATAGATTCAGCTGCTGGAACCAGACCATGTTTTCAGTTCAGACTCAATCGTTCCCGGGACATGATTCTCCTAGCCGTGTGTTCTCTCTCTCGTCACCCTTTTTTCTCCCCACACAACGCGTGAGTAGTCAAGAGGCAGCTTACAAGTGCTTTAACAAACTCAATCAGCTCGCACGCATCAGCTTTCATTGGTCGAGAGGCTGCAGCATACCACTTGGATATTCACGAGTCCGCTCCTTTCCCCCACACCCTCCCTCCCCCTCTCCCTCCCTTGTCCAACACCCCCACTGCCTGCAGGGTTCGTCAGGCGCGGGCGAGGGGTTTGAGGTGACCAAGTGGCCGAGTGGCACTCATCGGTTTTCCCAGTGTTGGAAAGTCCACCCTCCTCTCTGTGCTCACTGGCACTCGCTCAGATGGGCGCACGCAGTCTCACTCAGTCAGAGGCTGCAGCGTACTAGTCGGTTGTTGCTCACATAAGTCTGTTCCTCTCCCGTTCCTTCCCCCCCTTCCCCTCCCTCCTCCACCCCCCCCACTGTGTGTGTGCAGGGTTCGTCAGGCGCGGGCGAGGGGTTTGAGGTGACCAAGTTCGGGCACGGGCGAGTGGCACTCATCGGCTTTCCTAGTGTGGGAAAGTCCACCCTCCTCACTGTCCTCACTGGCACTCGCTCCGAGGCGGCAGCGTACGAGTTCACCACGCTGACGTGCATTCCTGGGATCATTAATTACAATGATACCAAGATTCAGCTGCTGGATCTGCCGGGGATTATCGAGGGCGCGTCTCAGGGCAAGGGGCGCGGGAGACAGGTGGGTGGGGGTTGGGGAAGGAGTCTGGGGCGCGTTGCGAGATAGGAGAGAGTGAGTGAGTGAGAGAGTGACAGTGAGAGAGGGGGGCGCAAGGCAGCAGCGTACGAGTTCACGACGCTGACGTGCATCCGGGGCATTATCTATCTACCACAATGATACCAAGATTCAGCTGCTGGACTTGCCGGGAATCATTGAGGGCGTGTCGCAGGGCAAGGGGCGCGGGAGACAGGTGGGTGGAAAAGGCGATGGGGGGAGGGGAATTGTATGGGGTGTCTGTGTGAGAGAGCGAGTGAGTGAGTGAGTGAGTGAGAGAGTGAGTGAGTGGGCATTTTTCAGGTGTGGTGGCTTTTCCCTCTTCACCTTCTCGTCATATTCATACTCTCTTGCACTCTCCTTTTCTCAATTTCCCCTGCCTGCCTGCCTACAATCCTCTCTCTCCCGCCCTGCCCCACCCCCATCAGGTCATTGCAGTCGCCAAGTCATCTGACCTCATGGTGCTCGATGCCTTAACTGAATTCACTTCCCTCCTCTCTCCCTCCGCTCTCCTTCCTCTCCTCGTCCTCTCCCCTTTCCCACCCTCCCGCCCTGCCCCACCCCCATCAGGTCATCTGACCTCGTGGTGCTCGACTCCCTGAACTCAACCCCCTCCTCCTCGTCTCTTTTTTCCTCTCCTCTTTTCCCTTCTCTGCCTGTCTGCCTCCTCCCCATCAGGTCATTGCAGTCGCCAAGTCATCTGATCTCGTGCTCATGGTGCTCGACGCCTTGAAGTCAATCCTCGTCCTTTAATTCCTCACTCCCTCCTCTCTCCTTCCTCTCCCTGCGTCTCTGCCTCCTCCCCATCAGGTCATTGCAGTCGCCAAGTCCTCTGATCTCGTGCTCATGGTGCTCCTCGCCTTAATGTCAACTCCCTCCTCTTATCTCCCTTCTCTTTCCTTACTCTCTCCTCCCGCGCTCTGCCTCGTCTCCTCCCCATCAGGTCATTGCAGTCGCCAAGTCATCTGATCTCGTGCTCATGGTGCTCGATGCCTCCAAGGTGAGTGCCTCTGCTCTGGTCTGGTCTGCTTAGGTGAGTGGCTCTGGTCTGGTCTGGTCTGCTTAGGTGTTTTCGAAAGTTCAGGGAAAAGGCACCTTGCACAGCCACGTCATCCGATCTCGTGCTCATGGTGCTGGATGCCTCCAAGGTGAGTGGCTCTGGTTTGGTTATGTGCTTTAGAGGTCTCTGAAAGGAAAACAGCACCTTGCACAGCCAAGACAGGTAATCCGATCTCGTGCTCATGGTGCTCGATGCCTCCAAGGTGAGTGCCTCTGCTCTGCTCTGGTCTGCTTAGGTGCTTTTGAAAGTTGTGGAAAAAAGGCACCTTGCACAGCCAGCCAGGTCCTCTGACCTCGTGCTCATGGTGCTCGATATCTCCAAGGTCAGACCAAAGTGATGTTTGTTCAATTGTTCCAAAAGCAAAGCACCCTGTAAAAAAAAAAAAAAAAGAACATTGTTTTCGCAAATCCACACAAGTTTTCTGTGTTTTGTCAACTCTTTTGGTTTTTGTCGCAATGCAACCCACCCCCTCTCTTCCCCCTTCCACCGCTCTCCTCTCCCCTTTCTCTGTCTTCAGACCGAGGCCCACCGTCAGATTCTAACCAAGGAGCTCGAATCCGTGGGGCTGCGTCTCAACAAGCAGCCGCCCAATGTGAGCCTGGGAGGGGGGTAGCGAGAGAGAGGTTGTGCGGCCTGGGAGGCGCGGCTGGTGGGTTGATGAAGAGTTTCTGGGAGAGAGACTGTGGTGGTGTGGTGGCGTCACCAGAATGGCGTGTGACGAGTCGATTTTTGAGTCGACTCAAAAAGCGAGAGGTTGTGCGGCCTGGGAGACGGGGCTGGTGGGTTGATGAAGGGTTTCACAGTTTCTGGGAGACTGTGGTGGTGTGGTGTGGTGGCGTCACCGGAATGGGCTGGGCTGGCAACGAGTCAGTACGGCTGCTTGTTGGGGTTGTGCCTCAACAATCAGCCGCCCAATGTGAGCCTGGGAGGGGGGTAGCGAGAGAGAGGTTGTGCGGCCTGGGAGACGGGACTGGTGGGTTGATGAAGAGTCTCACAGTTTCTGGGAGACTGTGGTGGTGTGGTGTGGTGTGGTGGCGTCACCGGTATGGGCTGGGCTGGCAACGAGTCAGTGCGGCTGCTGATTTTTGAGGCACAATGTCCGTACGGCTGCTTGTTGGGGTTGGGTTGTGCCTCAACAATCAGCCACGCCGCCCTTCTTTCCGATCAAATCCATATCAAGAAGATGAAGACGGGTGGCATCTCCCTCAATCCACTCCTCTACCACACCACACCCCGCTTCACCACTCCACACACCCCACCACCGCCCCCCGCTTTCCCCATCAGATCTAGTTCAAGAAGAAAAAGACAGGTGGCATTTCATTCAACTCCACGGGCCCTCAACCCGTCACGCTGTCCCGCCTTTCCATGCCTCTCGTTACCTCTCCCCGTCAACCCATCCCCCTCCTCTCCATCAGATCTAGTTCAAGAAGAAAAAGACAGGTGGCATCTCATTCAACTCCACGGGCCCACTCTCGCACATTGATAAGAAGCCCTGTTATCATCTTTCTCACTCGCTGCCCCACACTCCCGTTCCATCTTCCGCCCCTCACCACCCAACCCCCTTGCTCCCTATCAGATCTACTTCAAGAAGAAGAAGACGGGCGGCATCTCATTCAACTCCACTGGCCCTCTGTCACACATAGATGAGAAGCTGTGCTACCAGATCCTGCACGAGTACAAGATTCATAATGCTGAGGTGCGTCCATAGGGCACATGCACGGTGCGCAGTAAAAGCACGGACGAGTACCCCTCTCTCACATAGTGACGAGAAGCTGTGCTACCAGATTCTGCACGAGTACAAGATTCATAACGCTGAGGTGCGTCCACAGGGCACATGCATGCATGGTGCGCAGTAAAGGCACGGACGAGTACCCCTCTCTCACACAGTGACGAGAAGCTGTGCTACCAGATCCTGCACGAGTACAAGACACCATGGTTGTGCACAGTGGACTGTTCTCATTAATGTGATTGAGTGCAAATGGTTGTGATTGTACAAATGCATTTTCATCGTATCTCCTTCAACCGCGGGTGCTATTCCGCAAGGACAGCACAGTGATCGAGGCTTCTATTGAATATTCTTTTGAGTTGTATATTCTTTTGTCAAGTTCGCTTATATTGCGTGTGCTTGTATCAAGTCCCCTTCCAAATCAGGTGCTACTCCGCGAGGACAGATCTGATTGACGTCATCGAGGGAAAGTGTTTGTTTATGTATCAATAGTGCCTGTATCGAATGTGTTTGTTTATGTATCAATAGTGCCTGTATCGAATGTGTTTGTTTATCTATCAATAGTGCCTGTATCGAATGTGTTTGTTTATCCATCAATAGTGCCTGTATCGAATGTGTTTGTTTATCTATCAATAGTGCCTGTATCGAATGTGTTTGTTTATGTATCAATAGTGCCTGTATCGAATGTGTTTGTTTATGTATCAATAGTGCCTGTATCGAATGTGTTTGTTTATCTATCAATAGTGCCTGTATCGAATGTGTTTGTCTGGACTTTCCTTCTTCCACCGCAGGTGCTGTTCCGCGAGGACAGCACGGTGGACGATCTCATCGACGTGATTGAAGGCAATCGCAAGTACATCCGGTGCCTCTACGTGTACAACAAGATTGATGTCATGGGCATAGACGACGTTGACAGGCTGGCAAGGCAGCCCCATTCTGTGGTCATCTCCGCCAATCTCGAGGTCAGTTTGGGGTGGGGAAGGCGTGTACAGCGTGCAAGAGAGGGCAATCGCAACTACATGCGGTGCCTCTACGTGTACAACAAGATTGACGTCATGGGCATCGACGACGTTGACAGGCTGGCGAGACAGCCGCACTCAGTTGTGATTTCTGCTAATCTCGAGGTGAGATTGGGTTTGGGTTTGACAGGTGGGTGCAGCATACAATGAGAGGGCAACCGCAAGTGCATCCGGTGCCTCTACGTGTACAACAAGATTGATGTCATGGGGATAGACGATGTGGATCGCCTGGCCAGACAGCCCCATTCTGTGGTCATCTCCGCCAATCTCGAGGTGACTACTCGGTGCTGGTTCGGCTAAGTGGGCACGTTGTTCCTGGTATAAGATAGAGCAATCAGCAATTACGGTCTCGTTCCCCCCTGAACCCATTCACTATATCCTCCCCCGGACTTTCCTTCCTTGTACAGCTGAACATGGATCATCTGTTGGCGCGCATGTGGGAGGAGATGGGGCTCGTGTGCAGCCTATGCACTTGCAAGTTGCAAGGCCCTTCAACTCAATCCCCTCCCTTCCCCCACCCCCCTCCTTCCCCTTCCACAGCTGAACATGGATCATCTGTTGGCGCGCATGTGGGAGGAGATGGGGCTCGTGCGAGTCTACACCAAGCCTCAGGGCCAACAGCCCGACTTTGCTGACCCGGTCGTGCTCTCCACCGTGAGTTACCTCCCTGCACCGCAGTCCACCTCTTCCTACGTACTGTCATCACTCTCCACTGTGAGTGCGTCAATGAGTCTCACTGAACTTAAGGAGATGGGGCTCGTTCGAGTGTACACCAAGCCACAGGGCCAGCAGCCTGACTTTGCTGACCCTGTCGTGCTCTCCACTGTGAGTGCTCTTCTCACAACAAGCACTAACATATTCACCTCTTTCACATGATCATCTCTCTTGTCTGAGAGTGCATTAAGGGGTTTCACTAGAGGAGATGTGTTTCGCAAATGGAGAGATGGGGCTCGTGTGTGTGAGTGTACACCAAGCCACAGGGGCAGCAGCCCGACTTTGCTGACCCTGTGGTGCTATCTACTGTGAGTTCTCCTTGAGAGGGTTTTGTTAGAGGGTTTGAGGTCTCACTGATAGAGATGGGGCTCGTGTGAGTGTACACCAAGCCACAGGGGCAGCAGCCCGACTTTTCCGACCCGTAGTGCTCTCCACCGTGAGTTGTTGCCCTGCATTGCACTGCACCTCTTCCTAAACACTGCCACCACTCTGCACTCCACCATGAGTGCTCGCCCTGCACTCGCCGCCCTCCTTCTCAGGGTCACTCAGAGTCAGCACAGCCAGCATAGTCAGCACGGCCAGCATAGTCAGCACAGCCAGCATAGTCAGCACGGCCAGCATAGTCAGCACAGCCAGCATAGTCAGCACAGCCAGCATAGTCAGCACGGCCAGCATAGTCAGCACAGCCAGCATAGTCAGCACAGACGCTACATGCGTGTTCTGGCTGGTCCTGTATTCGCCAAGCTCCATGTCCCAGCAGGCTCGCGTTGCTGAATGGGCGGATCTTGCTGCATGGGGTGGTCCTTTTTACGCGGTGACTGAGTGCTATTCACCACACATATACCTTCCTGCATGGGATGAGGGTTAGTACCCTCACCTGCACAAGACCAAGTGGCTGCTCCTGCCACCCCCCTCTCCATCCCTTTCTGCTTCCCTCACTGCATCTTTCTCTGCATGATTGCATTGCTTTTATTCCCCCCATCTGCCCGCTTCTCAGGATCGTGGAGGGTGCACAGTGCGGGACTTCTGTGACCACATTCACAGGGGGTTGCTCAAGGATGTGAAGTATGTGCTCTGCTGGGGCATCAGCGTCAAGCACTTCCCGCAGCGCTGCGGCCGGAGGTGATTTGCATCTCTCTCTTCATCTGGTAGCCACATGCCTTTTCATTATGCACCCCCCTTCCTCCCCCCTCTCCCCCCCACCCCCCTCCTCCCCCATTTTCTCCCTCCCCCCACCCCCCCTCCTATTTTTTTCTGCCTGCTTCTCAGGACCGTGGAGGGTGCACAGTGCGGGACTTCTGTGACCACATTCACAGGGGGTTGCTCAAGGATGTGAAGTATGTGCTCTGCTGGGGCATAAGCGTCAAGCACTTCCCGCAGCGCTGCGGTTTGGCGCATGTTCTGCGGGACGAGGATGTCGTGCAGATCGTGAAAAAGAAGGTAATGTTCCGTCTTGACTCAGCCTGGATGTTGAGAGTCTGCTAGGTGAGGTGAGGTGAGGTGAGGTGAGGTGAGGTGAGGTGAGGTGAGGTGAGGTGAGGTGAGGTGAGGTGAGGTGAGGTGATTATTCCCGCACTACCCGCAGCGCTGCGGTTTGGCACATGTTCTGCGAGACGAGGATGTCGTGCAGATCGTGAAGAAGAAGGTAATGTGCCGTATTGATTCTATTTGGATGTTGAGAGTGTGCGAGGACTCAGTGTTTTGTTTTTTTGGGGGAGGGGGGTGGGGAGGGTGGGGCGGAGGAGGGGGGGGAGTGGTGTTGAGGGGGGGGGGGGGGGGAGAGAGGTAATGGTTCTCTTAGTGAGGTGAGGTGGTTATTACTCTGACGTAGTGGGTGTGTTTTGTCTGTTACTTGGTGTGGCAGGAAACGGAAGAGGAAGGACGTGGAAGATTCAAGACCCACGTTGACGGGCCTGCAAGGATAGCTGACCGAGTGAAGAAGGCACCTTTGAAACAGTGACCTTGTTACCAATACTATATTCTAGTTTACTTACCAGTATGGGATTATCGCAGGGAAAGGAGATGTGCTGTTCTTGTTGTGAAATTTCTGTTGCAATAAACGTTTTCTGTTAAACCTGTGCCCAGATCAAGCCATTCAATCTGCCACTTGAGCATCTGGATTCATGAGTAGTGGAGCAAGGAACTGCAAATTGAATGTGAACCACCATAGAAAGCTGGTTAGTAGTGATAGTATACTTGAATGTGGAAACGTAATATCGATTCAAGATGCTTGTTTTTTTATATCCGATCTCTATTGCAATCAGAACAGTCACTGTTGAATCTGTGCCCATTTCAAGCCAGTCAATCTGCCACGTTGGCAAACAGATTCATGAATCTTTCACCATTCAACTCCACTTTGATTGTGCGACCAGTGTAGGACAGATCCACGTGAGCATGAATCTTTCCACAAAACGGATTCATAACACGTGCTGGCGAATTGCAACTTCTGTTTAATATTCGCTACGGTCGCCACCATTCCGAGGACTTCATTTGAGCCCTCACGACGTCGCAGTTCTGCTTCGCTGATCTCGAAAGCCTAGGTGGCCTGCAGACGTGGCAAAGATGTGTAGCATCCTGAGTGCAGTAGACTGGCAAACAGAACATTCTAGTTTCCCGCCAAAAATTGGGAATTTCTTGTGACTTCGCCCTTGCCTCAAAGAAGCATCAGTTATCAATCTCCAAGACTGATAAGCTTTATATAGACCTTTATACTCCCTTCCCGTCTCATTTCCACAGCCTCACACGACCGAAATAGTGACTCAGTCGTCACCGCAGCTCGCTCATTCAGCCAACTCAGTCCAGTTGCCTCTCCCAAAGACGCCATGGCGGCTCTCAGCAGCTCCATTCCCGCGTTTTCCGGCCTCCGCGCCGCTGCTCCCGCAAAGGCGGTCAAGATTGCCCACAAGGCTCAGTCTGCTCGTCGCGCTGCGTCAGCCTTCGTGGCGGCTTCCACCAGCGGCAGCGACTCCGTCACGTCGCAGCAGTCGCAGCCGTCGCAGACGCTTTTTGCGAGCGTTTCCGAGTCCACACCCGCAGCGCCTTCCGCTTCCGCTTCCTTGCCAGGGGGAGTCGTCGTTCCCGCGTTGCTCGGCGCGGGAGTCCTGGGCGGTGCGACATTCGCTCTGGTGTCTAAGGCGGTTAAGCCAGCAGCCAGTGCGACTCCGGCGGCGGGGAATGAGGCTAATGGCGCTGCCGTTTCTCATTCCCTTCTCAAACGTAAGGCTGCAAGCCACGCTCTCTTAACTCCAATCAATGGCTTTTACTGGCAAACTTGGATTGAACCCTGCCACTTTTTTATTGCATTGCTTGAAATGTCACTATACATGATTCGAAGAACGGCACAAACAATTCAAGAAGGTCTGAAACAGATCCGTTTCGAAAATCCCTCGCGTCCTCACCTCTCTCCTTCATCCCAACTCCCCTATCTACCCAGGCCGCGCCCGCGGCGCTAGCGACAATGGCGGCGACGTTCCCCAACGCGATGCAGGAGGAGATGTTCATGCACGCCGTGGCGGACGAGCTGCGCAACCTGGGCTTTAAGCGCGACAACTGCATCGCGCTCGTCAACACGTGTCGCGACGAGGTCTGCCGCCCCATCGTGAACCTCATCGATAAGGAGTTTGGGCTCAGCTTTAACATCGCGGGGCTGGGTGGGCTCGTGAACTGCGGAAAGACGGGGTTCAAGGCGGCCATGTCGCATTCGCCAGAGTTCCCGTGCGAAACCGACGGCAAGCCTCGCGAAAGATGTAAGTGGTAACCCTATCGTGAACCTCATTGATAAGGAGTTTGGGCTCAGCTTTAACATCGCGGGGCTGGGAGGGCTCGTGAACTGTGGAAAAACGGGGTTCAAGGCTGCGATGAGCCACTCGCCGGAGTTCCCCTGCGAAACCGACGGGAAGCCTCGCGAAAGATGTAAGTGGTAACCCGCTGGAGAGTTGTGTTGTCAAGGCCAGACTGCGGGTTCAAGACAGCCGTGATCCACTCCCCGAAATCCTGTAACCCCCGTGCGAAACAAATTTGATGCTTTCATTTGTACCGAATTATTTCCTTACTCGTCCTCGTTCTCAACCTTCGTGCCTCTGGTGCTACATTTCTCCAATTCTCTCCCCGTTCCAGACATCTTCTTCGGCTTCCCCCACGTGTCCATTGGAGAGAGCGGCGAGGTGGGGTCGCTTCTTCGCCGTGGGCGCGGCAAGCCGTCATCGGCGTGCGGAGCGCTGATCGCCATTAAGGGTGACATCTCCGCTGGAGGCGAGATTGAGGAGGACCCGAACAACGCGGAATACGTTCTGCTGAAAAAGAAGATCGCCGCTAAGGTGTGTTTGTGGTGACGAGAGGTTGGGGGGGAGGGAAGGGGTCGGAGGGGGGTGTTTCTTAGTCTACTCACGCTCAGACGAGATTGAGGAGGACCCCAACGACGCGGAATACGATCTGCTTAAGAGGAAGATTGCTGTTAAGGTATGTTCGGGGTGAAGGGAGGCCGGGGGGAGGGGGGTTTGAGGTGTGGGGGGTTGTAGGGTGAAAATGGTGGTTGGGAGTGCGGTTGTGTGCATTATTCAGCGCATATGTGTGCTGGGGACTTCTCACAAACACTGAAATCGCAGAAAATTAATTATCATTGTGATCGGATGACTAGAGGGATCATTGGGAGGGGTGCGGTACAGTGAGAGTGTAAATTTGCCTGGATGAATGTAGAGGTGAACAAGGGAGAACAAAGACATGAGTACATTGAGAGTGGACGTATATGGCCTGTGATAGGGAATGTAGGCAGCATCTGCCCACAAACTGATGGCAAACCAGCAGCGGCAGCAGCTTCTGGATTTATGGCATGATGGTGTCTGCCTTGTTTTACCTAATCTGATCAGGCTAACCCTTTTTTCCCCTCACCTCTTTCCCCTCCTCCCTTCCTGTCTCACTGACATTGATCCCCATGCCCCATAAACAGATCCCCTCTAGCTCAGGCAGCCCTTCCCTGGTGCAAGTGACTCGCGCTGCCCTGCAAGCCATCACAGACGACCTTGAGAACCTCATCTCCCTTACAGTCGACCCCGCTACAGCAGACTATGCTGTCATTACAGGAGTGCAGATCCACTCTGGAAACCAGGTTCCTGGGGAAGATTTCTGTCCTGAGCGCACGTGTGACTACATCGCACCCAATGCCATGTATGCGGTCATCAGGGGAGAGAAGCACATTCTGCACTGCGAAGTGAACCAAATCACGGGTATCAGTTCAGTGCCTGCTGACCAGTTTGCTGCCTAAGGTAGTCAGGTAGCTTGATGTACAATCCCCCCTGTAATTTGTCGATAATGCAATGCAAGCAATCTTCCTTTTTTATATTGGCCTCGATCCCGTAAACGACAAGTCCTGGAACCTGAGAGTAAACTCGAAATTGTTCACATACAGAAACACAAGATAAATGCGTGCTATAGGAAAATGGTGCTCTCACTATGTTAGTGACATGACATTAGTTTTGAGACATTTCAACAAAGCTTGCCTATACCTTGATCGGCAGTTGCGTTATCGCGTACGAACCGGAACTAGTGAGGCAGGGGTAGTCCCTAAAAAGAGCCCCAGCCACATATCAACGATTGTATCAATTCGCGCGCGCTCTTTGCGCATCGACAACTCTCTCTTGCAGGTCTAGCGTTTGCTGGTTCTCAGCCCGCTTGAGTTTTCCCTGCTGAACCACCGCCTGTCGCTTCCTAGTTCAGCGAGTCTTTGAAACGACTTTGCCACCATGAGTGCGATGAAGTTTTGTCGCGAATGGTGGGTCTTCGTCACCTAGCTACTCGGCCGTCTCGTTTAGTACACAGAGACGCTCAGTTGCGTGAAACGCCCTTGTGTCCAATGCGCCCAGTGTTCGATTCTATCTGCTATAACGTGTCAGTCTCGCGTCCATGTGGCTGCTCGTCGCACCGCACACGCCAGCCTTACACACCTAAGCGTGGTGGCCATGGCGGATTCATCTTATGTCGTAAATGCGTTCCTCCCTACCCCTATCCCAATCCATACTCCTCCTCGGAACCTGCATCATTCCCCTGCTTCTTTTCCGCAACCTCCGTTCTTTCCTCCCCCTCTCCACCACCCCTCCCACACCCCCCCCGCTTCCACCTCCAAACCCCCCACTCTCCCCGACCCTGCACTCCCTCTGGGATTTGTCGTTTACTCTGCCTCCATGTGATATGCAGCAACAACATTTTGTATCCGAGAGAAGATAGAGAGAACCGCGTACTATTGTATGCTTGCAGAAACTGTGACCATCAGGTGTGTCCATGCACCTTATTGAAATCCCTACATTTCCTTTCATGACTGCATGTGCTTGGAGAACCTGAGGATCTGCTGTTTGTTTCTCATATCCCTCAGCTTCAACCTCCCTTTGTGCTCTGCCGACTTACAGGAAGCAGCTGAGAACAATTGCGTGTATCGCAACGAAGTGCATCACACTGCAGATGAAAGAACTCAGATCCTGCAAGATGTAACAGCAGATCCCACACTTCCTCGCACCAAGGCAGTACGCTGTGCCAAATGTGCCCATGGCGAGGCTGTGTTTTTTCAGGTATGGCCCACCATGATGTTAGCCTTTGGTTCAATTGCGGCAGAGTCTTACTCTACATTGCTATATTTTATCGCATCTGTGTTTGCTTTTTTCTTGGAACTCGTCCCTTCCAGGCTACAAGTCGTGGGGAGGAAGGCATGACCCTGTTTTTTGTGTGCTGCAACCCTAACTGTGGGCACAGGTGGCGAGACTAGAGTTGGTTAGACGAAGTTGCAGTATTGATAATTTGATGTTTTGCCTTCTTTTTTATTGAATGACGTACCAGTACAACACTGCCTAATAACACCTCAATACAGTCAATTCATATCCTGTGGAAACTGCATCAATTTGTCCTGTCCACAAAGTTCAAGCCAAACATGGCGAACGCAATGCTCTGGAGAAAGAGGAAGATAGAGTAATCCCAGCGGTCTTCCACAAAGATCGCATACATTCCGGCACCAAAGATGAAGGCAGCCATACCCAATTCCCTCTTGTATATTCTGCAGGAAAGAGGTGATGAGAGGGTTAGGATAAATCGTGAATAAGAAAAGCAATGTCTGCTCTTGGAGCAGTCACTTACGTGCGGTTGAACCAAGAGATCTTAGACTTCTTCGGCTGGGCTTTATCAGCTCCTTGCTTCACCAGGCTTTCAGAAATGACCGGAAGACTCAGACTATGTGGTAAAGCCCCAGCCTTCCCCAAATACTTTGCCAGCCCTGTCTTAGCGGTTGCTGCATCAGTCTGGACCCAGTTCCCAAGCTTCTGGGTAACAACCCATGAATGTGCGGTGGATAGGCCCAGGATTCCAGAGATCATCGCCGAGAACTTGACAATGCTCATGGCATTCTCAAATAGAACAAAAGGTACAGCGTACAGCCACGACCTAAGACAGCAACCAAGATTGTCATCATACCGTACATGAAAACGAGCAAAGCAGCAGCGGTTATGACACTTACCATGGAGTGAAAGCCACTGTTGAGATAGTCACCAGGATGGGCACATAAACCAAAGCCCAAAATGGGATTGTCACTTCAGGCGCCACAACACAGATTGGTACCAATGTGCAGTAGAATACAAATGACACAATATGGGTGGCAAACAGCCTTGTCCCAAAAAAGAGGCAGTTTAGGTAGATCTTTTGAACAAGTGGGATCTGAGAAAGGTAAACACAGTTAGTATAACTGCTGTCAGGAGAAAGAATTGGCAGTTTCTGAAGCACTTACCTCCGATTCCCAAACTTGATCCATAGCTTTTCTCCAGAGTTGCATCGGCCCACAGCTCCAGCGGTGCTGTTGGTGCCTGAAGGCTGCATATGTTGATGGAATCTCGTTAACACACTGCACACATGACAATGGCATGGGGAGGGAGGGCACGTTGGTCAGACCATTATATCCACAGAAACTGGAGTGGAGCAAGCATGCTGGCTTACCGTTACGTCATTCAAGAATATGAACTTCCAGCCTCTAATGTAAGCTCGAAGAGAGAGATCCATGTCCTCAACAGTCGTCCTGTTGTTCCAACCGCCTGCATCCTTGATTGCAGAGAGCCTCCATACTCCAGCCGTTCCTGCAGCAAAAGGATGGCTACACTCTTAATTACTGAAGGCGCGGGAGATAAATGGACAATGTGTCAGCTACCATTGAAGTTGAAGAAGTTGCCCGTAGCAAATCTGGCATACTGTTCACACTTCAGGTGATAATTGAGAGAAATCTCTTGGACTCGAGTCAAGACGGACTCATCCGCATTGGCAAACACCCAGCGCGTTTGGACAAACGCAGCCCGTGGATTGTCCTGTGGGTTAGCCGAGACAGTTAGACTTCGCCTGGAAAGGGCAAAAGGTAACGCGACTGGAGCGGACTTACAATGAGATACGGGATTGTCTTAAGGAGGAATTCAGGCTCTGGGCTGAAGTCCGCGTCAAAAATGGCAGTGAATTCGTAATCTCCAATTGCCTTCTCAGCCTCCATCATTGCACCAGCTTTATATCCTTGCCGATTGGATCTCCAGCGATCTTCCACGTGAATTCCTAGAGCTACCTTTTCGGCCACTGCAAGAAAGGAAAGAAGGGTAACTACTATGATCCCGTGCGCTTGCAAAGACGAGGATGACAGAAAAGTAATCTGATACCTTTCTTCACCACCCTGCTGCGAGTAATGGGGCAGGTTGAATCGTCCAATATCTGAATGTACAGGCGCGATCTTGGCCATATCAAATTGCAACATGAGTCAATCACTTGTTCGCACACCTGAAAGGTGCAGAAAGCACATGTCAGACACTGCGGAAGGTGGCGGCAATACAGTTTTGTAAGAGAAAATGTGATGCATGCCCTCAAATCTCTTTTTCGTTGAACATAGGAATCTGAACAACAACTTTGGGAAAGGCTTCAGGACAGGTCGCGGGATCTGGCAAGGAGTTCGCTTCGAAAGCTTCCTCCGGGCGCTTCTTAGAGAACCTCCAGTACAACGCAACGTAAAAGTGGAAGAGACGGTCCGCAGCGACCAGCGACGAGAGGAATGCAGTCACTCCCACAAGAATTTGCAAGACTGGCGAGAGGAAATTGATGCGAGCCTCTCGGCCTTTGACCATCGCGACCACCAGATGACCCTTGGCAGTGTCGATGTGCTTCTTCATCGGGCCATTGTCACCCAGGAGATGACTGAGGAGAGGTTGGCCATGAAGGATGAGAAGGGCGACAGCGCAGATGGACACGATCGCCACAGGCACGATGGCTGCTCCCCGCGGAAGCATCTTGCCTGGTTGGTATGATAACTCTCTGCAGTCGTGCCTCCAGCAACCAGACAAGGCTCAGAGTGCAAGAGCAGGAGCCACTTGCTCGTATTTGAAAAAGCAAGCTGTACTCGAGTGAAGAAGTACCCTGCAACTCGATCCTTGAAATGCGAAAACCGCACTCGGCATGCTTGATGGCCTCTTGGGAATTGCTGCCGTGATTGAAGGCACAAGGAGCGCGGAGACATCGACGAATTTGATTATAGAACACACATGCTGAGAAGAGGAAGCCCACAAGTACAGCTGGATTTGATGGCATTACTTCATCACTACAGTAAGCACGATAATATATGCAGCAGATTTCCATGTATAGGTCTGTATCAAAGCAATCACTTCACATCTTGCTGTAATATTTGTAAGGCCATCTTTTGTCACAAGACAAAGCATTGCCAACTAAGGAGGAAGGTAAGAATGACTTAATCATTGCCTCAGATTGTGCTATGGATGGAACTATCCAAGGTACTCAAAAGTTAACAAACGAGGGGGTGTGTTTTTGAGTCACATAAAATCTAGTCCAGAAGCAAAAGCTTATGAATTTTGTTTGGAGAACACCCGTTCCTTCGAGGATGTCCTGACTGCCAGGACTCAGGATGTGGCAACCTGAACGAGTTTCACCGTTCTTCAGGGTTGTCTCCTACATGGTATCAAACATTCGTTGAGGTGCAAGCTCATAGTCCTCATGCTCCCCGTATCGAACATTGCGCTCGCGTGCATTCACCTGCAATGGGGAGATACCCATGGGAAGATATCCATCAACCACAACGCGCGAAATATGGGAGTAAGAAATAAGAGAAAGACATGAAGTGTCTTTCGAGGAGGCCCGTGGGTGAGCGTGACGTGTTGACGGGCGTGCACAAGCACTGTGTGGCCAATTTAAGGGTTTGACACAGAACGGAGGGCAGTGTGCAACGCGTTTGGTGTGCAGTGAGTACTGAGAACTGAGCAGTGTGCAGTGTGCAGTGAACGCGCACCCGTGTGAGGTACGTCCGGTCAGAGGAGATCTGCTCGTGCACCAGCGCCAGCTTCTTGGACAGCTTAGTCGCCCTGCACACACTCGCACGTGCAGCACACATGGTTGTATCACTTATAAGATTCTTAAAACTGAGGAATGTTCAGTTTGAGGAGACATGCTCGTGGACAAACGCCAGCTTCTTGGAAGTCTTCATGGCCCTGCACACTCATAATGGAGCATTCATGAAGGAAAACGGATGCACATTCACAGTGCAGCACACATGGATCATGGGGATACCATGGACGCACACTCACAGTGAAGCACCCCTGCAGCAACATTGGATCAGCCATGGGTTAACAGCGCATCAACATTGGATAAGTAAGGCATGGTTAAAACAATGCATCAACTTTGGATCAGCAGTGCATAGACTTCACTGCGAAAACCAAATTTATATTACAAGTGAGAAGGACATGGAGTATCGACTGTGAAGGAGCATCTGAATGTGCCTCTCACAGCTGAAAAAAAAAAAAAAAAAAAAAAAAAAAAAAACTTCATTAATTTCATCTTACCTCTGGATGTGCTCCTCCACCACAGCAGCCATGGCGAGGGAGTCGTACTTCTCAGGGTCCTCCTCAAAGCTCACCATGCCCGCTTGCTGGTCTATCCGTGCAAACATCTCCCCGTCCGCTATCTGCCAGGCACACAAGCATAGCCACACATGCTTAGACTCATATAACGCCCTCCACTTGACTCCAAAGCTCACCACGCCTGCCTGCTGGTCTATCCGCGCAAACTTCTCCCCGATCGCTGTCTGCCACATGCACGATCATACATTGCGGGAGTTCTTTTAGAGCTTACCTCACGGGCTACAGGCCTAAGGCAATGGACGATACATGACAGGTCGAAGTGGGGCACATAAAAAATTTTAGAGACACTCAGACGTTACCATAACCCGAAGAAGGAAGGCAGTTTTTCATGGAAAGGAGTGATTTATTTTGTCTCACCATGGAAAGGAGGTATTTCTCAGCCTCGGCAGGCGAGGAGAGGTGCACCGACTGAGCAAGGTCGGAGAGCGAGAGAGTGAGGTAGGTGTGAGTGAGACGCTGAATGCTGCGCTTGGGGACCGAGGCGACCACCTGATGGGCCAGACCTAGATTGTTGTCCTGGGAAGTGAAGGAAGAGAGGAAGAAAGAATGGAAGGGAGAAGGAGAGGGGAGGAGAGAGAAGGGGAGAGAAGATGGGTGTACGAGGAGAGAATAGGAGTGACGGAGGCAGTGTGAGGGGACGAATTCTCATGGATAGTGCAGCCCAGCGCGTTGGTGTGAACACCCACTCACACTTTTGAAAACGCCCACTCACCGCCTTGAGGGCTTGCTCGTGGAAGTCGACAAACTTCTTGAGCTCTGCTCTGCGTGCTTGTGGCAGGGCAGGGCAGGGCAGGGCAGGGCACACACACAACAGCCCAGCGCGTTGGTGTGAACACCCACTCACCGCCTTGAGGGCTTGCTCGTGGAAGTCGACAAACTTCTTGAGCTCTTTTGATTCGACTCAAAAATCACCTCGTAAGTTTGAACACCCACTCACCACTTTTATGCCTCCTACTCACCGCCTTGAAGGCTTGCTCATGCGAGTCCACAAACTTCTTGAGCTCTGCTGCGTCACGAGACACGTAGATGTTCGCCAGGTCGTGGTAGTCCTGAGAGGGGTGGAGAGGGATGGAGAGGGGTGGAGAGGGGTGGAGAGGGGTGGGGTGTACGTCACTCAATTTCAGGTGAAAAAGAGGGTGTATGGGCGAGCCATAATGGAAAAGAGTTGCAATTGCAACAGATTGACACTACAACAAGGGCTCAGCACATGCGCCAAGACGTTGCAGCAAAGGATACAGCAGGTTGACTTTTGAGTCGACTCAAAAGTCAATTGACACTGAAGCAAGGGCTCAGCACATGTGCCAAAGACGTTGCAGCAAAGGATACAGCAGGTAAAGCCCTGCTTGCACACACCTGGCAGCACGCCTTTAGCCCTCTCTGCACGATGCCTGGAGTGAACTTGGGTAGAGGCGACAGCTGCTCTCATGGGACCGTGGGGAGTGGGAGCGAGGGAAGGAGTAAATGAGGGAGCAAAGGAAGGGATGGAGGAAGGGAGTTGTTTTAGCCCTCTCTGCACGATGCCTGGAGTGAACTTGGGTAGAGGCGACAGCTGCTCTCATGGGACCGTGGGGAGTGGGAGCGAGGGAAGGAGTAAATGAGGGAGCAAAGGAAGGGATGGAGGAAGGGAGTTGTTTTGGCCCTCTCTGCACGATGCCTGGAGTGAACTTGGGTAGAGGCGACAGCTGCTCTTGTGGGACCGTGGGGGGAGGGAGCGAGGGGAGGGACTGAGAATAGGGAGCAAAGGAAACGAAGGGAGGGATGGAGAATGGGAGGAAGAGTGTTGCTTTCCAAGATTCCACTGAGAACCAGCAAGAATTAACTACTACAACTAGCTCGAAGCCTGCTTGCTGATACAGCACCATTGCTAGCACAACAAACAAGGTACGCACCACACCACACCACTCCGCACCACACCACCCACCTGTGCGTGCAGGATGAGCGAGACGAGCACGTGTCTCTTGTATGCCGCCACTGTGATGGCATTCATGTGAGGAAAAGGGGATGGCATCACATTGCACCACAGCACACAACACCACACCAGACCGCACTGCACCGCACTGCACCACACCGTACCCACCTGGGCGTTCAGGATGAGCGACACGAGCACATGTCTCTTGTATGCCGCCACTGTGATGGCATTGACTCCCTGCGCTGGGGATGTGATGGCCTGGAGGGGAATGGGGGGGAAAGGGGGAGAGGGGGTGGGGGAGGTGGGGCTACGTTGGCAGATACGAGTATCACGTATAATACACTAGCGTATTATACGCTGGGTATATACGCGGTACGCTAGGGGTGGCGTACTGGTGATACGTAAAAATACGCCGGGCGGGCAGGTAAAACTTTTTTCCCGGGCAGGGCTAAAAAAACCTGTTTCAGGGGGGCGGGTTATGTTTCCCAAAAACACATGTTTTTTTATTTCATAATTATCCAGAGATACATCTTTGGGGCTACTTCTCCCCACCCCATACATCCCCACCCCACCCTCTAGCTAGCCTCCACACAGCCGAGTTCCTTGCGGGGCTTTTCCAACACCACCCCTGCCCCATACTCATCCGCCAGAACTGCATCCTCTCCTTCCCCCCCCAGGGCGATATGCGACTGCGCGGTAACAAATCGCCAAGTCGCAAAACCTTCGCGAATTTTTTCAATTTCGATTTTTTTTTTCGGCGGGCTGCCCGGGCGTATTTCCAAGAAATACGAGCGTATTAGCGTACCACGTATATACGCAAGCGTATATACGTGGTACGCAACCCTGCCCAGGGCGTATCTGCCAACGTAGAGGTGGGGTTGGGTGGTACAGACAGATGAGAACGTCCCATTTGATCTCCCATTTGATCTCCCATTTGATCTCCCATTTGATCTCCCATTTGATCTCCCATTTGATCTCCCATTTGATCTCCCATTTGATCTCCCATTTGATCTCCCATTTGATCAGTGAGATGGAAGAAAAGAAAGATAGTTCGATACGTTGAAAGAGAATGGTAAATTGTCCAACTAATACCATGGATAAAAGGATCGTCACTGAAAGGGATGCCAGCAAAAAGGGAGATGGACGATGCCGAGACACCGACACATTGGGCAAAGCAGGGATACGGAAGCAGCAGGGTTAAACACGCTGTAAGCAAGGGTGTCAAACCACGCTCGCATGGGTCAGGTCACACTCACACTGGCCAGGCTTCACTGTCACGCACTAATCAGACCCCACTGACAAACGCAGCGCTAAATATCAGACCCACTCACATGCATGAAGAGGTCTAGAGCCTTCTGGTACTGCTTCAGACCCACATAGATGGTGCCTCTGGGGGGGTGGAGATAGCAGGCGAAGTGGGGTTGGAGGGAGGAAGAGAACGGGGAACGGGGACTATGCTTGATTAAAGAGGTCTAGAGCCTTCTGGTACTGCTTCAGACCCACATAGATGGTGCCTCTGCGGGGATTGGGATACAACAGGCAGCGAGGCAGGGAGAGGAAGTGGGTGGATGAGGATTAAGAAAAGATGATTCGTGAAGAGAAGGTCTGGAGCCTTCTGGTACTGCTTCAGATCAGACCCACATAGATGGTGCCTCTGTGGAGAAAGTGGGATGCAACAGGCAGAGGTAAGGAGGGGTAAGGAGGGGTTGAGTGAGGATTGGCGGGCAAAGAGGAGGGGGAAGGAGCACAGACGGACAAGTGGTAGAGGAAGAAAGCAGCCGACAATGGGAGAGGGGGAAGAGGATGCTAGTCATTATTATCATAAATAGTATCCGCACCCGTAGAAGCACACAAGTATCTCAACTTTTGAGGCGCCTCAAAAGACGATTTTTGAGGCGCCTCAAAAAACACCAGAAGGATCTCAACCCAATCAATAGAATCCCCACCCGTAGAAGCACACAAACGTCTGCATCCGTACAAGCACAAGGAGCTCAACCCAATCATAATAATTACCACCCATAGAAGCACAAAAAACCCAATTCCTTTAATTATTCTCATGCCTACCCATAGAAGCAGTACAGCAGGAAGTCCCGGTGCACTAGCCCCGTTTTCTTGGGGTCAATATCGAGAATATCCCTCTGAAGCAGCTCGCCTCCCTGGCGGTAGAGCTTGGCGAGCAGGCACAGCTGCAGGCAGTCCGCGTGTTGCGGGGTGAGGTGCTCCGCTGTGGTGCACTGCTGCACCTTGCTGATCGCCCACCGCAAGGGGAGGACGCCTCGGGAGTACTGGGAGTGGGAGATGAGTAAATCGCGCAGGCGGTGGCACAGGGAGGCAACTGGGAGAAGGGGAGGGGAGAATGGGGGAGGGGGAACGGGGAAGGGGGAGAGGAAAGAAACGAGGTAGGGGAGCAGGGACGAGAAAGAGTGAGGGAGAGGATGGAAGAGAGGGGTGGAGAGTAGCAGGCACAGGTGCAGGCTGCACCTTCTCCCACCTCTTCCCCTCCTCCTCAACCCCCCACCCAGCAGTCCTCTTTCTGACTCATATCCATGCCCCAACATGGATATGAGGTATGCTGTTGAGGCATGCTGGGGCATGCTGTTTCATTTCAAGCCAAGCTGAGCGGTGTCAAAGTGTAACGCAGCGTCGCGCGCGGAGCTGAGTCCTGTAACTCACACTTTTCAGGGGCGAGGGCGAGCTGCGTGGGAGAGGCCACTTTGATGAAGTTGATGATCGCCCCCACCACCTGCTCCCACAGCTCGCCTGGTGCCTGTGTTGTTCCCGCAGGAAACCCGCAGGGGCCTGTGCGTGCTGCATGCGACTTATGCCATACTTATGCATTCACTTACACTTTTCAGGAGCAAGCGCGATCTGCGTTGGAGACGCCACTTTGATGAAGTTGATGATTGTCCCCACCACCTGCTCCCATAACTGGCCCGGTGCCTGCGCTGCATGTGCATCGCTGTAGGGCAAGGGTGGAAAGAGAAGGCATGGGAGGAGTTGGGAGGGGTGGGAAGAGAAGGGGCGGGAGGGGTTGGGAGGGGGAGAATAACGTACGAGGAGAGGGCGGGTGGGAGAAGGAGAGGAGGACAAATCGATGATTAGACCAGACGCGCGCGACAGACAGCAGCATAAGACTACCTTCACTCCCACCCCCTCCTCTTCCACAACCGCCTCACTCTGTATCCCCATTCGTTGCCTGGATCTACCCTCGCCCACTAAGTTCCTCCGCGGCAATGCGCGCCCACGGGAAGAAGAGCAAGGCGCGCGGGTGTTCACTCACTCTCCCCCGACCCCATTGGCCCTGCCTTCCCACCGTCCCCCAAATCCCTCCTTCTGCCTTACCCTCCCGGACTCACAGGAAGAACAGGAAGAACAGGTGTCCCCACCTTCCCCAGATCCCCCCCTTCTCCCCTTTCTCCACCTTCTCTCTCTACTTCCCTCGGAAGACAAACTCACAGGAAGAAGAGGAAGGCGAGCGAGTGCAGCGCGGGGTCGAGCGACGCGAGCAGCGTGTCGAGCTGCGGCGCGTGCTTCGCGAGCGCGTCCTCCGCGCCGCGCAGCACCTCCAGCAGGTGCGCCAGGTCGCTCGCGCTGCCCGACAGGCCCTGCGCCTGAGTTACCACCTTCTCCAATGCCTCCATCGCCACTCGCTTCGCCACTCGAACTCGTCACTCCACTCGTTGAGTGCTTCTAGTTTATCGCGTCGAGTTGATTGCGTCGAGTTGATTTCGAGTTTATCGCGTTCAAGCTTTTAGATCTCTTCCGAAATCGTAACAAGGTTGTAACTCAAGTTTCTGCTATAAAGCTGTTCCTTACGTTTCTACAGCTGAACGGAAGAGTTGATGATTGCGCGCGATACCTAAAAACAATCCAAAGCAGCGCGGATCAGTTCTTGACCAGACTAATGCTGCGGCGACCTAAGCCTGATGAATCTGTGCCGCCGATTCCGCTCACCCTAATGGTTGAGCAACCTTGCGGCTCGAATTCATGGGCCAGTGGTTGAAAGTGAAATGGAAGAAGTCGGACTGCACGGGCTGCGATTGTGGCCACTTCGCTAGAAGCAACAAAGCCAAGGGAAACTCAAAGAATATATTTTCTCATAACAACCACTTCTCTCTTCGGATTTCATACCTCCTGCGGGAGGCCTAGGTTTATCACTTGAAAACACGGTTGCACTGAGCTTCGCTCCAACCTTGAGTGGCGAGGTGGAGTTACTGCACCCTGACAGCACAACCCCCCCTCTGAAAATTGGGCGAAACAGGATTGGCCCCTAAATTTCGCGCCATTCTGCTCCCCAACTCGGATTGGTTGCACGTGTTGGCGAAATCGCCAACACAACCCAATCCTCCCGAAATAATTACCCCCCAAACCGAACCTTTCACGAAACTGGCGGGATTCGCCAGTTCTGTTTGAAACATTCGCGCGCTCATTTCTGGAAAAGAGTCATTCCGTTCCCCAATCAGCATGCGTCCTAGGGTGTGCACCCAAAATACCCCCAGAAAATACATTTTCGTATGTAGACCGCAGCTTTAAGCTACAAGCTAGATGGAAAGATCATGAAAAGGGCGATTACTCGGAAGAAGTGTTCGTCAACGCAATTGCAACATGGTAACCACCTACTAGAAGAAACGCGCCTATCGATTGATGCATGGTTCTCATAGCCCAGCCTTGCCAGTGGTAGCTCCTATCCCACCATCGCAAGCCAGACAATCTCTCCCACCACCTCCCATCTTTCCCTCTGCGCACCAACGCTAACTCCATTGCCACGTGCTGGTTGGATATTCAGGGAGGAAACACCACACATGCACAGAAAGCAGGGAGTGGATGCGAGCACAAAGAGGATAAAAAAAGGATGCAAGCATGGACAAAAAGCACGCGTCTAGAAAGGACAGCGTGGAGAAAATAGGAATGTGAGTAGGATATTAAAAGCCAGAAGCAAGAAACGAAATCATTTGCCGAAGGAGCTCTTACCTTGGGCAGGACAGTGGCTTGAGTGCGAGTCTTGGCACAGTCAAACGGATGTGACACAACTGAAGCCACTGCCGCTGCCACCGCAGCTTCCAACCCCTGTGTTAACGCATACCGATACCCACTCCCCACACTCCTCCTCCCCATGTCTCCACCACCCACTCCTTCTCCCTCCAACCCCTCCCCCCCCCCTCCCCATCCCTCTCTCTCTTCCTCCGTCGAAGCTCCTCCAACTCCCTCAACCCCTCCTCTATAGTCACCCACCCTCCAAAGAACACCGCTCCAAAGAGCGAATCTCTAGTCACGCCCGCTCGAAGGCCTCGCCACAGCTGAGCTGCCCCCTCCGCCCTCACTCCAGCCCTTGCGGCTTCCCAAGGGGACGATGCAGGGAGGTAGGGCGAGGGGACCGGAGTCCAGGGGTAGCGGGCGAGGGAGAGGGAGAAAGTGGTGGGCGGTAGGGGGGTGGAAGGAGGGGGGATGGGAGGGGTGTGCAGGGATGCAGAGAGGTACCTTGGGTGTAGGGGATGAGTGGAGGAGAGGGGAGTGGGAGGAGGGGGAGGGGAGGAGGAAACGAAGGTGCGCTTGTGAGTTGTGCGGTGCGGGCGGTCAGAACGGTCAGTTCGAGAGTTGGTGGGTCTGTGTGTGAGTGGATGGGGCAGCCTCTGCTTGGGAAGAGAGGAACCGCTTCGGGATTTGTGACTGGGGATGGAAGATTGCTTAACAGTAGAGGATTGACTGGGGGAGGTGTGGCCAGGGGAGGTATGGCTGGGGGACGGTGTGCCCAAAGAAGAGGAGGCTGGTTGGGAAGGAGAAGAGAGGCGGTGGATGCGGATGGAGGGGCGGGGGAGGGATATGGGGTGGGAGGGCGGGACAGGTGGCAGCAGGGGAGTGGCGAGCAGCAAGCGGGTTTTGAGGAGGTCGAATGGTGTGGAGAGCAGGGACTCTGTCGCCCCGGCTATGGCGCCTGCTAATGCTGCTTGAGGCGGGGAGATAGGCAGCCAAGACGGCAGACCATCTAGGTTGTTCAGGGGGAGGCGAGGGGGAAGGGAAAGGGGAGTAAGAAAGAGTACGAGGAAAATCAGCGACGAATAAACGAGGTGCGGAGAGCAGGGACTCTGTCGCCCCGGCTATAGCTCCTGCTGCTCCTGCTTGAGGTGGGGAGATGAGAAGCCAAGAGGGCAGACCATCTGAACTACGCAGAAGGGAGGGGAAAGGGGAGAAAAACGAAGGTGGGGAATAGGAATGGGTACGGGAGAAACAGCAGAAAGTAGGCGTGGAGAGCAGGGACTCTGTCACCCCGGCTATCTGGGTGCAGGGAGAGGGAGGGTAGCGAAGGGAAAGAGTTAAGGGTTTGTTTTCATACAAAGTAATGGTGGCTGCTTGGGTGGGGAAAGAGCGGCGTTATGCTCAACAGGATTGAGCAGTACTCGTGCCGAGTGAGCTGAGTCGCTAGATGAACTAAACGACCACCAGGAGAATCCGAGGTGAATGGCAAGGTAGGAAGGAAGGTGGTCTCACCCATTTGGTACGCGGAGGCGAGATGGTAGGTGGTGTAGCGGGCTGCTAGCGATGGTAGATGCCCCGCGAGATGCGGTGAAAACCCCGTGAACGCGGCTGGCAGGGAGAGTGGACGATGGAAAGAGCAGAGGCAGAAAACTCAGGCGGACGAGTGCGTAAAACCTTCTCCTTCAGGCGCCTTTGCCATCCATCGGTGTTGCTTCACTCTAGCAGCTCGCATGATGAAGACAGAACTGGAATGCTGAGAAAGGGCGGAGACTAAGGGATAAGAGGGAGGGAATGGGGTGGAGAAGGGGAGGATGGTGAGAGAATGGAGAGAAGGGGAGTAGGGGAGAAGGGGAGGGAGGGACAAGGGAAAATGGGGGATGGAAACATGAAGGCATTGAGGGTTGGAGTGGTACCTCTACTTCTCCAGTTGAGACCGCTGATAGCAGCTGCTCTTGACGCTGCTGCTGTTCCGCTTCTCGCCATTCCACCAGAAGATCCTCCGCCTGATCCCCCCGCGATCGTACTGCCCTGCACGGCGCCTGTTTGTGCGACAACCGCGTGTGCGACGCTGGCCTGTGCGACACCCGCCTGTGCGACGGTCTTGGCGACATCGAGAGGGTACGTGACGGCGCTCGCCACCACGGCTGAAACTTCTCCTACCGCCACGTGTCGGTAGAAGAGATGCGATCTGGATTCGCCGTCCATGGCAGAGGCCTTGACCCGAACGTGATGATGATCCCCCGCAGGCCTTGAGCCGGGGATGTTCAGAACATTACCCCGGATCGACAAAGCATCTGCCGTCTAAATTCTAGCGGTAATCACGCTCACTTAGCTCTAAGCGATCTGCCTATATCTTTGACGACTTCACTTCTTCTGAGCAAAGCAGACGCATTCCTCGGCTGCTTGCAGGGGTGAAATGACGAAGCTTAGCGCTCCGCCCTAGCGAACCGATCCCTGGCGCTCTGATTCGCTGACGTGTGAAACGGTGTCATACTTTCGGGATCCCTGACTCGTAATCGCACGCAGCCTAAGGACTTCGTGGGTGGTGGTGCCTATGGGTGTGGAGGCATGACTGGGAGGAATGTAGGAGGTATTGGGTTGGGGGACTGGTTTGCTGCTCAATAGGTGTACTCGTCATAAAGGCACTCGATTGTTGTTTTGTGAAAAGCTCAATGAGGAAAGTCGATACAAGTTTTCCACGCAATCTCAATCCCCCGCCTCTGGCCCCTTCATGCCCCAACTCCCACATTCCACGACAGCAGTCCATCCCACATTTGCTCAGATTCCTCAGCTGCAATCCTCCATCCGCTGAAAAGACTAGGCACAGTGAAGACCTTGTTTCGCCATGGCTGAAAGCGCACTCCTGGCCCGGTCACCGGCCATCTTCTCTTCCTTGAGTGCTTTCTCTCCCTCCCGCATTCCCCGTTCCACCTGCTCCCCCTCACCTCGCGCTGCATTACCGTCCAGGATTCCAGTCACCGCTTTCACAGCAACCCGCCATGACTCTCCCCCATCTCCCCTCGTAACCCGGTCTCTGGCCTCGTCGCTCGGAACCTCTCAGCTCGTCACCCGTTTCTCGCGACTACCGCTCCTTAGTCCAGCCCCCGAGCAGAGTCACCAGAATAGTAACGTTTCGGAATTTGTCCCTAGCGCTGCGTGCAAGCGGCGCGGAGCCGTCGTTTCCCGTGCGTTCCTGCTCCCAGTGGATCCCTGGTCGCCCAACATCGACTCGCAGAGCATCGCGTCGTCGCTCTTCGCCGTGTCGCTCTTCCCCTACCTCGGATTCCTCTACTTCCTCACGCGCTCTGGCACGGCGCCGCGCATCACGCTGTTCGGGTTCTACTTCCTGCTCGCGTTCGTCGGGGCCACGAGTGAGTTGTAGGACCTGTGTAGGCATGTTTCATTGACTGTGCCTTCTGCTCGCGTTCGTCCGTGGTACGAGTGAGTGTAAGCACAAATGGGCGGCATGTGTAGGAGCGCAATGGATTCTGTTTTTGTCTCGCATTTGTCAGTTGTACTAATGCGTACGCTGTCAGGAGCTTAAGAGCTGTATAGGCATGGTGTGATCTGTTCCATTTTCAATCTGTCGTATGTCCATGCATCGATTCTAACACCATTGTACTTACCATGCCACAAGTGGGCACCATATCTCCCTCTTTTCCTCCCTCCATCCATCACACTCTCTTTTCTCCCTCCCTACTCAAATCCTTTCCGCTCTCCTCTCCTCCCCCTTTTGCCTCACGTCCATTTCCGCTGTCCTTCAATCGCTCAAACCCTTTAAGTTTTGCTGCACCGTCTTTCCTCGTCTCCTCCGTCCACACTTTCCTTCACTTGTTCCCACCGCTTGCCATTATCCCGTTTGATGGTTTTTTTACAAGCCTTTTCTCTCTCCCCTCCCACTCCCACTCCCTCCCTCCGCCCTCTTCCCCCACATTTCCAACTTTTTTTCCACTTGCTCGACTGCGCTTCGAATTTTTTCTCCAATGACAGTTCCAGCCGGAATATACGGTGAGCTCCTTTCCACTCTGTATTGTGCCACACCTTCGTCCTGTTGCCCCCCTTTGTGCACAGTCGTTCGTTTTTGGAAGTGGTCCTGTGGAGTGGCTTATCTTTGCTCATTTTCTGTCTTGATCGACTGATATGAGTGAGCTACTTTGCAGCGCCACAGCATAGGGAAGCTGTGCATGCAGGTTGACCTGGAATACAGATGGTGTAAACTGTTGTCATGTTTGTGTGTTTACCATGTGCTTCTGTGTTGATGCCTGTTTACATGTGCCCTTGTTCCATGCAGCCAAAATTCATTATGGGACATCACTATCTAATGTGGACTATCTACATGGCAGTGCTGAGTCGTTGCTTACAATCACGAACCTCCTGATTGTGTTCGGCCTGCGCAAGGCCCTTCGGGATGAGGAGGCTAATGAGGCTCCGGTTGGTGATTCTTCTGAAAAGGATTCTAGTGAGCGTTTTGTGGTGTCTGACAAATCTGAATGACTTCTTTTATCGTTGCCCACCTTCAGGACTTCAGATGCAACACGCCCTAATACAAGACGCCTAAACGTAGCAGTCTAAACATTGGCTAAATGGCAAGGCAAACCTGTTTCTATCGTCAAATCCAACTGATGAGAATTATAATCTACTTTCCATTCCTACGCGTAGGATGTTGTCTAATGTGGATTCCACTGCGCAGAGTACGCGATACAGGCATCAGTCTTGAATTTCACGAATGGCCCTCCTTGAGACCTCTCTCACACACACGCACTTCTCAAATCTCGATTTGCTGCTTCGTGCGCGAGAGTGAAATGGTCACCCTCACCCAGTATTGCATGCTCGTTCACACTCCTCTCTGCGCTTCACCTCCGTCCTTCCAATTTCCACGTGTCCTATCTTACTCTCTCGCTTCCCCCCTCTCGCGACCGGTGCTCATGGCGTCTCGGAATAGCCGGAGTGGGACGTCAGCAAGAAGCGCTCCTTTTTGGATTCAGTGGTTGAAGGAATGGCCGTTAGCACGTCCAGGGTGACTGCCATTACCATCCGATTCTTGACAACTCTCTTCTTGTATGGGCTCTGATTCTTGTTACTGCATTTCAAATCTGAAATGAAGTAAGCCCGTATTTTCTTTATGTCAGCCACGATCGAGGCGCTGTTTATTATCTTCTAGCCATTATATCGCCATGGTTCGAGACCTGACTACTGCACGAGATCAAGTGGGACCCACTTCAACGTCAACCACCCCAACCACTCGAAAGGTAGTCACCCGAACCACTCGAACCATTCGAAAGGTGACCACTCGAACCACTCGGAAGGTAATCAGGGCTGTGAGGCCACGGCCTGCACAGCCTGCGATTAACGATGCACAGCCTGCGATTCAGCGGCCTGTGATTCAACCTGTGATTCACGATCCCCAGCCTGTCATTCAGCCTGTGATTCAAGATCCCCAGCCTGCGATTCAACCTGTGATTCACGATCCTCAGCCTGCGCTTCAGCCTGTTATTCCCGATCCCCAGCCTGCGATTCAGCCTATTATTCCCGATCCCCAGCCTGCGATTCAGCCAGTGATTCACGATTCCCAGCCTGCGATTCAGCCTGTGATTTTCGATCCTCAGCCTGCGGTTCAGCCTGTGATTCAGCCTGCGATTCAAGATGCAGATCCTGCGATTCAAGATGCAGAGCCTGCCAGAGGTCGTGGGATTTCGGCGGGAGGAGGGGGGGTGGAGCGTGGAGAAGCAAGACCGCAACCACCATTGGTGGTTCCGAAATCGACTGAAGCGAGCGTGCCTACAGCTGATGCCATGTCAGCTCCTCATACCGTTGCGACTAGCCCGTCCAGTAGCGAGGGGCTTGCTGCAGCCGTGGTGGATGCGGCGTTTGCTGCAGCGGAAGCGATTGCTACAGCGGAAGCGATTGCTGCAGCGGAATCGATTGCTGCTGGTATTCCTGTGACTGAAGGCGGACGTGCTCTTGGCACTCTTGTTGACGTGGCAGAGGATCTTCTTGTTGATACATCAGCACGCCGGGATCTTAACGAAGAGGCGGGGGAGAAAGGTTCTTCAAGAGATATTCCAGTAACAGAAACGGATGCTGAACTTCAGGGCATTCAGGAAGATAAGGAAGAGCAAATGGCGGAGGATGAAGATATGGAAGGGCCAGTGGGCGAAATGCTGGGAGATGAAATTGGTGGGGGAAGCGAGGATGTGGGAGAGGAACGAACACCAGCGTGGGAAACCCCTGCAAGTCCAGCCAACATTCACGCAACAAAGGAGGCGGAAATGTCACCGGCAGCAGCAGGCGAGGAGATGCAAAGCGGCAGCAATAGGGCTGCTGAACCTGAGGGGATTCAGGAAGAGCCAATGGTGGAGGATGAGGATATGGAAGGGCCGGTGGACGAAATGCTGGGAGATGAAAGCGGAGGAGGAAGCGAGGACGTGGGAGAGGAACGATCACGAGCGCTGGAAACCCCTGCAATTCCAGCCAATGATAAAGCAACAACTGAAGCGGAGATGTCACCTGCAGCAGCAGGAGAGGAGGTGCAAGGCGGCGGCAATAGGGCTGCTGAACCTGAGGACAATCTGGAAGAGCCGAGGGCAGAGGATGAGGCAATGGAAGGGCTGGGGGGAGAAAGTGGAGGAGGAAGCAAGGACGCGGGAGGAGAGCAATTGCCAGCTCTGGAAATTCCAGAAAGTCTAGCCAACGATAAAGCCAAGGAGGCGGAGATTTCACCAGCAGCAGCAGGAGAAGACATGCAAGATGGTGGCAATAGGGCTGGTGGTCGCTGGGAGTTAAAATCACATGGGAAGGCACTAGCGAGCAAAAAGAGAGGAGCTGCAGAGGAAATGCAGAGGGTCAAGGTGCGGATGAACAACACCGAGGTGAAATATGAAGTTAGAACCACAGCTCCTCTGCGCAAGATGTTCTCACTCTTTTGCAAGCGACAGCATTTGCCTGTGAGGGGGGTGATTTTCTGCATGGATGGTCATGTTATACAGGGTAGACAGACTCTGAAGGATGCTGAGATACCTAACAATGCTACTATTGAAGCCTATGTTCACAAGGTTGGTGGGTAGAGAGGGTCCAGCTTCCGTCGTTTCTTTGAAAATTATTTTCCTCCTATTGTGCGTTGTATTTTCTTGTCAAAATCGGGCTTCGAGTCTCTTATCAGGTGCTTATGCAATGATGAGCTTTTGAATGTGATTATTGAGTTTAGGAGCCCACATCCATTTAGAGAGCTAACGAGCTTAATGTTGCTATATAGTATGCTATGAACCAGGGGGGAAATGGAGAAAATATTGTTGCCCACGTTGCACCCTCCACTTCATCAAATGGAAGTGGTGAAAGTAATGCAATTACCGGAATACATTGTCGTCTGGCTATGCCATTCTCAATTGGCGCGTTATATATACCTCGTCATACGCGATAAAAATTCCACGGAATGTCTTCCTCACCACACACACGCACACCATTTCAAATCTCGATTTGCTTCTTCGCGCACGAGAGCCAAGGGTCACCCAGTAGAGATGCATGCTCAAATGCACGCCCCACTGCACCGCCTTCCTTTCCTCGAAGTCCCACGTGTCCGTTCGTGCTCCCTCACAAACCTGTGCACATGGCGTCTCGAGATACCCGGACTGGGACGTCATCGAGAAGTGCACCTTACCGGAGACGAGGGTTCGAGGAATGGCCGTCAGTCCAGGGTGACTGCCCTGGTTACCATCCGTTGTATAACAACACCTCTCCAGTATGTTGCGCGTACACATGGTACTGCGTGACTTTAATCTTTAGATGAAACGAGTTCGTGATTTCTTGATATCAGCCGCCAACGACGCCGTGTTTACTTAGCGCATCCGCCATGGTTCGAGGGAAAGCTTCCGCACGAATCCAAGTTCGAACCACCCGAACAATAACGAGGTCTCTGAGGCCACGGCCTGCGATCCACTATGCACAGCCTGGCAGAGGCCGTGGGATTTCAGCGAGAGTAAGAGGAGGAAGAGTCGAGCATCGACAGGCAACACAGCAGCCACCGTCGGTGGTTCTGGAGTCGACCGAAGTGAGCGTCACGACAGCTGAGGCCGTTTCCGGTTCCGAAACTGCTGCGACCACTCCGTCCAGTACCCGGAGGCTTCCTACAGCCATCGTGGATGCGGCGTTTGCTGCAGCGGAAGCGATTGCCGCTGGTGTTCCTGTGACTGGAGGCGGACGTGCTCTTGGGGCACCTGCTGACGCGGCAGAGGGTCTCCCTCCGCTCGTTGACACGTCCGCATACCGGGATTCTAGCGAAGAGGCCAGAAAGAAGGGTACGGGAGTCGAGATCGCAATAACAGGGACGGATGCTGAGCCTGAGGAAAGACAGGAAGATGACGTAGAGGTAATGGAGGATGATGAGCCTATGGAAGCGCCGGCTGACGTGACTCTGGGGGAAGAACCTGGCACAGAGGGAGGAGGAGGCGAGGAACTGGAAGAAGTGGAACGATCACCACCGCTGCAAACTCCAGCAACCCAGGGAAGAGCAGCAGAGGAGACGAAGTCGTCGCCAACAGCAGCAGTGGAAGAGTTTACAGGCAGCGGCGGTAGAGCTGCTGGTCGCTGGTCCTTGAGGTCTCATGGGAAGGCAGCAGAGCATGAAGAGATGAGAACTCAGGAGGTTCAGGAGCAAGAAACCAGACGGGTCAAGGTGCGGATGGACGGCAACGAGGTGACATATGACATCAATACTACAGCTCCTCTTCGCAACATGTTTGCACTCTTCTGCCAGCGACTGCATTTACCTGAAGGTGGAGTGACGTTCTGCAAGGATGGCCATGTTGTACGGGGAAACCAGACCGTGAAGGATGCTAAGCTTGCTGATGGTTCTATCATTGAAGGACATTATCAAAAGTACGCTGGGTAGGTAGGGTAAGACTGCTAGCTTTCTTGGATACCAGGATATTTGCATTCCTCATGTTGTGTATAGCGCTCTATAAGAAACTTTAATCTGTAAAGTGAGGATGTGAGTTTAAAGTCGTGAAGTGAACTTGTTTTGAGTTCAAAGTTCCAATCTGAGTTTATAGTTTGATATGAGAACCTTTAATTTTATGCAGGTTACTGTAGCATGTGAAGGTCGCAATTGGTTGCGACCTGTGTGGAGGGAGCGCTTCGGGTTCCCAACAGCAGACACCTAGAAAAAGGGCCGCTGAGGTAGGTCCTTTCTCAAGCATTCACCTGCCAGCCCACTAAATATCTGCAAGAGCAAGCTCCGTGAGAACCATGGCTTTCCCTGGACATGAGAAGCATGTTTGCTGCGATGACTCATCTGCTCCTCTCAGTGCGACGTCTCTAGATGAACTGCATTCTCTTCAGAAGAAGCTAAGTTCACTTCCAAGCGGCGGCGCCGAGTCTATCAGGTACACGTGCAGAGTCTCAGCATGCTCAAGCGTTTAGTACAGGTTTCTAATATTCATCGTCTTTTCAGTGCCTCCTTGGCATCTCACGCGCGAGAACGAGGTCCGAACGTCATTAAGGGGGATCCAAAATACATCTCCAAGGATAGCCACGTGCATTTCGTTGCTTCTGACTACGTCAGCGATTTTAACCTCAAAGCGACTCACGTACTTCACAATCTCTCGCAAGCAGGTCAGTTTGACGTAATGACCAGTTCAGCATTCGCGTGTATTTTTTCCCATTTATATGGCAATGTTCAGCTGATGCACTCTTACCTGTACAGAGCTTTATGAGCTTGCGATCAAGGATGAGAAGGGGACGTACGTCACTTCAACTGGAGCGCTTGCTACTCTCTCTGGAGCGAAGACAGGACGTTCTCCTAAGGACAAGCGCATTGTGAAGGAAGAGACCTCACAGGATGACCTGTGGTGGGGGAAGTAAGTGGTGGTTTTTTTTTTTTTTTTTTTCTCCATCGTCCACATGCGCTGGATAGGTCTGAGCATATTGTGTTTCCTCAGAGGTTCACCGAACATTGAGATGGACGAAGAGACATTCTTTATCAACCGCGAGCGTGCTGTCGACTATCTTAAATCTCTGGATAAGGTGTGTTTCTTTCATATAACGCTCCGTGGTCGTATGGTGGAGAAACTGCTGATTTCGTTTGATTGCAGGTCTTCGTGAACGACCAGTTTTAGAACTGGGACAAGGACAATCGGGTCAAAGTCAGAATCATCACCTCTCGTGCTTATCACGCTCTTTTCATGCACAACATGCAAGGATCTGGCCAGTTGGTTTAATTTCATGAAGATCCAGCACACTGTTGTATGCACGTTCCTTGGTACGCTTTCATCTCTAATGTCTCCGAACAACTCAGGTGCATTCGACCAACTCCTGAAGAGCTGGAAACGTTTGGTGAACCTGACTTTACTATCTATAATGGTGGGAAGTTTCCATGCAACCGTTTCACTCACTACATGACATCGTCGACCAGCATTGACATCAACCTGAAGAGGAGGGAAATGGTTATTCTCGGAACTCAGTATGCTGGCGAGATGAAGAAGGGGCTCTTTGGGTTCATGCATTATTTGATGCCAAAGAGAGGAATACTGTCACTTCATTCTGGCTGCAATATGGGAAAAGGCGGCGACGTATCCTTGTTCTTTGGCCTTTCAGGTCTGTTGACCAGACAACTTCGTCCATATCATTTTCATATCCTGAAAAAGGGCTTATCTAACCTCTTTTTTTTCAGGCACGGGAAAGACTACACTGTCAACTGATCCTGAGAGGTACCTTATTGGGGATGATGAGCACTGCTGGAGTGACAATGGTTTAGGGTTTAGGGTTTAGGGTTTAGGGTTTAGGGTTTAGGGTTTAGGGTGCTATGCAAAGTGCATTGACCTGTCGCCCGAGAAGGAGCCAGAGATCTTTAACGCAATCAAGTTTGGAACAGGTATTGTGCTTCTGTGTTTTACTCCAGAAGATTCCGAGTTCCTAACTGTGTCTTTTTCAGTCTTGGAGAACGTCGTGTTTGACAGCCACACCAGGGTGGTTGACTACGCAGACAAGTCTGTGACTGGTGAGAAAATGTTGTTTTGTTTTGTTCATAACTTCAAGTTCACTAACGAGCTGACACTTACAGAAAACACCCGTGCTGCGTACCCTATCGAGTATATCCCGAACGCAAAGATTCCCTGTGTTGGTCCCCACCCAAAAAATATCATTCTGCTGGCCTGTGATGCGTTTGGAGTCCTTCCGCCTGTCAGCAAGCTGACCCTTCCCCAAACCATGTACCACTTTATCAGTGGATACACTGCCCTGGTGGGTCTCAGCGTCAGCCACTCTGATAATCCGTTCATGTTCGGAGAGCTTTTATTCTTTGGTGGTCGTGTGACTGACGCACCTTCTGTTTCACAGGTCGCTGGAACTGAAGAGGGTATCAAGGAACCGCAGGCAACATTCTCCGCATGTTTTGGGGCTGCTTTCATCATGTGGCATCCCATTAAGTATGCAGGCATGCTTGCTCAGAGGATGCACGAGAATGGAACTACTGCATGGCTTGTGAACACGGGTTGGTCGGGAGGCAGCTACGGCGTGGGAAGCAGGATGAAGCTGGCATATACAAGGAAGATTATCGATGCGATCCACAATGGGTCTATTGCATCTGCTAGCTACAAGACAACCCCGATATTCTGTCTTCAAGTTCCAGACCATGTTGATGGTGTGCCTCAGGAGATTCTTGAGCCGCAGAACATGGTGAGTAAGCTTTCTTTTTTTACTACCCGTTTTACCTTTCTCTTCACCTTGTTCACACTACCAACAACATCTTTGTGGTGAACAGTGGGCTGACAAGGCTGCTTACAACGCAACGCTGAAGAAGCTTGGTGGACTTTTCAACACAAACTTCTCCAAATTCACTGAGAGCATGGCTGGTGTGGATATTACCCTAGCCCAGCAGATTCTCTCAGCAGGACCTCAGCTTGCATAGTGGCATACACATACAGCAGCGAATCTCAGAATAAGCACTTGATTGTGTGCTAGTCCAGGTGATTCAAGTACCGGTAGGTAACGTTTTCTGGGACGTCTAGTTTAGGTGAGAAGGTCTTGGCTTGGATACACTGAAATAAAACCAGCGGTCTTTGTTACGGTACTATGGATGTTTACAACAACCCATCGGCTTCAACACACAATTGAATGTGAGACACACTTTGCAAAGGATAATCAGATGGCCAGGAATAACAACAGCAGGTGTTACTCAGATGGCTTACGGTTACGCTAAATGTTGTGTAAATACAAGGCAGAATGAGCAATGAACTAGCGACACTTCATGTGGTAGCTTGTTGTAATCAGTCAGTTCCTCCCAAGGGGCAACGACCTGCAAGAGTAGGTCTCCTTCAGATCTTCTTTTCGCGACGAAGTGAAGATTGATGCGTAAACATCTTTGCTGGCACCAGTTGGCAACCTGTCCACTGCTTTAAAATGCTGCTTGACTTGAACCAAATCCGACCCCTTTGGTCTTGCTTTATTGGCAGACACTTCTGACGCGTTCTTCATTCCTGCTGCCGGTCCTTCTGCTGCTTTCCTTTTGACTCCGTGCTTGTCAACCAACCCCCCTGCAGCGATTGCCTTGTCATCGGGACTTTGACTACCGCCTGCTGTCACCCCTGCTGCAATGCTTTTCTTCTCGAGGCTCTTTTCTCTGACATCCACCACCGCCACGCCATCAACATCCTCCACTGCAGCTCCTTTTAGCTCATTCCCTGTGGCGACCACATCAACCTGAGAAACAGGAGCGGCTTTTTTCTTCTTTCCAGCACGTCTGGAAGCTTGTTCTTCCTCCATCCGAGTGCGCAAAGCCTCCACCTCCTCCTCAGTACCGTTAATCGGGATCCGATCTGATTCCAGAAACTTGGCATGACAGACGAGACACGTTGGGGAAGGCAGCTCCTTCAGTGCACGAGCACTTAGCACATGTCCACAGGGGCGAAGGGCGACAAACTTGAAGCTGCCACTAAACTCCTGCTGAGTGATCGGACAAAGGAACCTGCAACAGGCGAATATGGAGTGAGGATGTGGGCAACAAGAAGTAAAGTCAGTGAACCTAAAACGAAGAGGAAACGCGCTTCTGCACATAGACTTGTGGGACCAACACAGCAGCATGCACATTTTTCACGAAAGCATATCATGTCCCTAAAGCTGTCAGCAAGAACACAAATTCCTGTAAAGATATGGTGGGCCTGAATCTATTTGTAAAGATATGGTGGGCCTGTCACAGGACCCTACACACGCTCCGCCGCATACCTGACATGAGCCTTCTTGTCAAGCCCTGGAATCTCCGTCAGCTGAATCCCAACGACATCCCTCAACCCCTTGATGTGCTTCAGTGCAACGGGAATGCTCTTCTCCACTAAGGCGCGAACCACAGCTTCCTTATTAAATACGCTTCCCAGAAAATCCACCACACAAGGAGGAGTCAGCGGCTCGCCTGACAGATGGCAGTGCGTCCAGCTCGCCACACGTGTGTCACGCGGGTCAACCTTATCCGGACGGCGTCCAGCGTACATCTGCAGGTAGCAGTCACGCGACTCAGCTCCCGTGGCTCCGCCATCTCCACCACCGCCTCGCAAGGGTACGGTTACATCTAGGGTATCGTACGGACGGGCATGGAGGGATGCTACGCTGGATAAGCGGTGACGAGACGACGCGAACGGGAAGAGCTGACGACCTCCGTGGAGCACACGGAAAGAATTGGACGAACAGCCGAAGCGGGCTCCATTGCGTGAGGGTTCGAAGCCTAGAGTCTCGCCGCAACGCAAGGTTGACAAGGAGAGATCTATCAACGCCTGAAGAGACGAGTTAGGGGAAATCGTGACTGGAACTATGTGCGACTCGGGCCCAGGACCTCTCAAGAAAAGCTGCATGGTTGACGTCAGGATAGAGGCGAGAAGGCGATAACAAGGTCGACCTGCCTCAAACCAAGTAAGTAGAAAGAGGTCACCTCGTCAGGTCAACTAACAACTGCCTCAGAGCAACATATGTCCGCTATTCTTGCTTTTTTGCTGCTGTGACCAAGAAACAGAGTAGACTAGAGAGAGACTTGGCTCCGTGCCGTGCCCAACCTAGAGTTACCATCTGGTGACTTCGCCTGCTCGTCCTTCGTCCTTCGTCTCCGTTTCGCTCAGGGTTCTTTCCCGCTGCTTCTTCGCGCGACCGTGCGCAACAGCCATACACCGCAGAAATCGGATGTTTGGGGGCGTGTCCGAAAAGTAGCGTTTAGTGGCTCATGAGTATGTGCTTTGTTGTACTTCTTGTTCCGGAAAATCAGGTGATAGTATTTTACTTCAGTGAGTCTGAAACGAGTACACATCCCCCAGCAATTCCTTGTCCAGTTGTTCACCGACACTCACAATTTCCTTGGGTGGGAACAAGAAGCACTTTAGCGGTGACACCTAGGCCTCGGTGACTTGTTCGCAGCAGCTGATTGGTGGAAAGCTGTCGCCGAACCTGTACAGGGTGAAATCTGGAGACTGGTTTTCATCGTCACTCGTCGTTCACGCAATCGCTCATGCATCCACAGATTTTCCTGGAGATTCAACCTGGGAAGAATGGGAGACTGATTAGTCTCGAGACAGATAAAGACCACTGAATTAGGCGATCTGCACCCATTTCACTTCACTTCATGTCCGCTCACCACCACCACGTAAACTCCGTCTGCTTTCAGCAAGCTTGTCCGGCTTCTATTACGCCCCCTCTTCTCGAGTAACAAGCTGTTCCTCCATCAAGCCGCTGTTTTCTCGCAATTCACTTTCCGGACCAGAATTTAGTTCTTTTTGCACGCAGCTTATGGCGTCGCGTCCTCAGAATGTCGGCATCCTCGCCATGGAGCTCTACGTCCCACCCAGCTTCGTCTCCCAGGTCGCTACATCTCTCACCTCTCGTAATTCGCATCCCATCTCGTTCTTCGTCAATGCATTGTTGAAAATTTACGAAAAAAACGCAACGTTGCTCGTCAATGCATCGCATCGTCATCACACCCCGGAAAGAATCAACTGCATTCTTCCATGGCTATGCCTCGGGCCGGAGTTCTAGTTTGTCGCTGCCTCGATTACACTGTTCCTGCGTAATGCGTCTCGATTTAATTTCTCTACGTGCTAACGTGAAGCTCTTTTACCGCGTATGCCTGATGTATACCTGATCGATCCATGACGTGCGGGGGAAATGCAGACGGAGTTGGAGGTGCACGACGGCGTGAGTGCGGGAAAGTACACCATCGGGTTGGGACAGGACGAGCTCGGGTTTTGCTGCGACCAGGAGGATGTCATCTCCATGAGGTGCGTTTCATCTCCGTCAGGTTCGTTTCATCCCGATGGAATGGAATGACTAACCTGGTTCTGTGCACTGAAAAACGCACACGAGGCGAAATTGAGAACTGCTAGAGAAGAACAGCATCGACTCATCGAACATAGGATGCAGGATATAGGCACGGAGACAGTGAACAACAACGGCAAATCCATCACATGTTGATGTAACAGAAAAAAAAAAACATTTTTTTGTGTTCTCCTCTTTCCTTTTCCCCCATCCTTGCAATGCACCCTGACTGTTGTTCGCGCATTGGGCGGCTGGAGGTGGGCACAGAGTCAGCTATCAATTCATTCATTTTTTCCTTCCCACCAATGTAGTTTGACTGCTGTCCAGCGGTTGCTAGAGAAGAACGGGGTGGACCCAACGCGCGTAGGGCGGCTGGAGGTGGGCACAGAGACAGTGATCGACAAGAGCAAGTCCAATACATTCCTATGCAGCTCATGTGTTCCTCTCTCCCCTTTTGCCACCCCTGCAATGCAGCCTGACTGCTGTCCAGAGGCTCTTGGAGAAGAACGGGGTGGACCCATCGCGCATAGGGCGGTTGGAGGTGGGCACAGAGACAATACTTGGACAGTGCTTGACTCCATTGTTCTCCCTTCCCACCAATGCAGTTTGACTGCTGTCCAGCGGTTGCTAGAGAAGAACGGGGTGGACCCTTCCCGCATAGGGCGGCTGGAGGTGGGCACAGAGACAGTGATCGACAAGAGCAAGTCCATCAAGACCGCCATCATGACGCTCTTCGAGGCCAGCGGCAACGCTGACGTGGAGGGCGTTGATTCGTGCAACGCGTGCTACGGTGGCACGGCGGCGCTGCTGAACAGCGTCAACTGGGTGGAGGGGTCGTCGTGGGATGGCCGTTTTGCCATCGTTGTTGCTGTTGACAGCGCCGTGAGTATTTTTTAGGCGAATCAAATGTGCTATGGGTGGTACGCTTTTCCTGCTGAACAGTGACAGCTGGGAAGAGGGGTCGTTGTGGGACAGCCTTTGTGCCATCGTTGTTGCCGTTGACAGCACTGTGAGTACAGGGAGGGATTTGTGTTATTTGAGGGGCTTGAGCATGTGGGTACTATGAGTGTGTGAGGTGGCCGATGTGGAATGTGGGTTATAACATGGAGTGTGGCGTGTTTTGAGGGAAGGGGTGTGGGTTATGGGATGTGGGGTACTGGGCATGGGGTGCTGCACTCTTGCCATGCGCCATTCAGCACCTTAGACCTTACTTCCCTCCTAAACCCGAAACCCGAAACACTAAACCCCTACCTCGCCTCCCATCCTGCCCCACCATCACCAGGTGTATGCAGAGGGTCCAGCTCGGCCCACTGGGGGAGCAGGCGCAGTGGCGATGTTGGTGGGGCCAGACGCGCCTCTAGCATTCGAGAGTGGGCTGGCGGGCAGCTATGCCGCCCACGCGTATGACTTTTACAAGCCCAAGCTCGCCAGCGAGTACCCTGTGAGTGGTTCGTCTCAGGAGTTCTTTTACTGTTTGTTTTGTGAATTCATGTGCCTCCGGTGATGGAGAGTGGGCTGGCGGGAAGCTATGCCGCCCATGCGTACGACTTTTACAAGCCCAAACTCGCCAGTGAATACCCTGTGAGTTGATTTAGCTCGGGAGTTCCACATGAAAGTGATGCTCAGTTCAAACCCTTGGCTGTACCTCTGCTTGGATCTGAAATTTTATCTTTGGATGATAAGAGTGCTAGCAAAAGGAGTGTTGTGGGGGCGTATATTTCATAGAACCTTGTGAAATGTGCATGACATTCCTTGGATTGCATTAGTCCCTGGTACTATCATCTCAGTACTAATCCCATCACCAATTCGCTGCATCGTGGATGCATGTGTGCGTGCAGGTGGTGGATGGCAAGCTATCTCAGACGTGCTACACTAAGGCGCTCGACCACTGCTACCAACGCTTCTGTGACAAGTAAGCTCTCACACGCCATCCCTTCAACAGTGAGCGTGCTCGCTCTTGATTCCGCTCGCCCGTTTGTTATAGAATTGGAAGCCAGCAACCTTTCGCGTTTCAACAAGCAATGCATGCTTTGAAAGTGCCTATATGCATTCTTGCTGCGTGCCTGCCTGCTTGCCTGTGTGCTGTGCTGCAGGTACGCCAAGAAGCATGGCTCTGCGTTCTCACTGGCTGATACTGAATCCGTGGTCTTTCACTCTCCCTACAACAAGGTATGGCGGGACTGGTGCACGGCACGCTGGGTTCTAGCCATGCAATCTGCTTACACATGTGCTTCAGGAAGCAGACAGACTGACACACCCTACTCACCAATTGATGAAGGTGCAGAAACTATGTCTTTCATCAAAATACGGCTTCGGATGTTTTATGTCATGAAATAGGACCATGATGATGCCATGGCCTATGCTTCTGCTCTCACACACGTCCCCCTCCTCTTTTCCCCTCTTCCATCTCCCCTCCTCCCTGCGTGTCTCAGCTCGTGCAGAAGAGTCTGGCACGGCTAGTGTTCAATGATGTGAAGAGGGGAGTGAGCAGGTACGTAAGCACAAGGTGCCATAGCCAGTGTAGCCTGTATGGGCCAGGGCATAGACGCACTGTAGAGGGGACGGGTGCAAGAGGGAATGGTCGCAAGGGGGAACGGACGTAGGGGCCAACATGGCTAAGAGCATAAGGGCTTCAGTTGCAGAAGTGCCTCCACGGCTGGCACTTAATGTCATGATGGGTGGAGTGAACAGGAGGACATAGGGATACGGCATAGAGAAACTGTGAGGGCCAAGAGGGGCAGGAACAAGAACTCACATGAGATGTCCCCTTTTTCTTCCCCGTTCCCCACCTCCCCCGCCTTCCCCTTTGTCCCCCATTCATCCATTTCCTCCCATGCCTATGCAGCTCGTATCTGGGTGCAGGAGAGGCGGATGCACTGCAGCCGTTTGTGGGGTTGGAGGAAGAGAAGAGCCTCACGAACAGAGACCTGGAGAAGGTGAGCTGCTCGTGTGGTTTCACCCTGCCTGGGGAAGGTGATACTTGGGGAAGGTGAGCGCAGGGGCACTCATCTGACCTCGTGGACAGAGACCTGGAGAAGGTGAGCTGCTCGTGTGGTTTCACCCTGCCTGGGGAAGGTGATACTTGGGGAAGGTGAGCGCAAAGGCACTCATCTGACCTCGTGGACAGAGACCTGGAGAAGGTGAGCTGCTCGTGTGGTTTCACCCTGCCTGGGGAAGGTGATACTTGGGGAAGGTGAGCGCAGGGGCACTCATCTGACCTCGTGGACAGAGACCTGGAGAAGGTGAGCTGCTTGCATGGTGTAGTTTCATTCTCCTTGGGAAAGTTGATACTTGGCGCTTCACACCTTAACGGGCATGGGCATCGTCTGAACCTCCTGGATAGAGAGGATCAGATAAGAGCATCGTGGACAGAGACCTGGAAGAAAGTGAGCCACTTGCATGCTGTAGACTTGCTTGGGGACGGTGGTACTTGGAAAGGTGAGCGCAGGAACACTTGTAACGCATGTGACCAAGCCAGCTCCCTTCACCATTCTGTGTGTTTACTCCCGTGCCCCTGTGCCCCTGTGCCCCTTCTCCTGGCCCCCTTACGTCCAGACGGCCATGCGGGTGGCAGGGCCGGTGTACAGCAGCAAGGTGGGCCCCACCACCCTGGTGGGCAAGCGGGTGGGCAACATGTACTGCGCCTCGCTCTATGGCAGCCTTGCCTCCCTGCTCGCACAGCAGGGGCAGCAACTGGTACGTGTGGTGGCTCTAGGCATGGGAGCACTAATATTGCTAGAGGATCTAGTGGTGGCAGCACTCATAGTGCGGGTAGAACTGGTAGTGCGGGTAATGACGGAGAGCAATCAAGCGTGTGGGCAACATGGACTGTGCCTTGCCCTGTGGTGTCCCTGCTCACATCGGGAGGGCCTTCTTATATTGCTCTTATCCTACGACTCTGGCCTCATGTCGATGCTCTTCTCCCTCTCCCACCCTTTCCTCTTCCCTCCTGCCTCCCTTCTCTCCCTCTCCAACCCCTTCAGGAGGGCCGTCACATTCTGCTCTTTTAGTACAGCTCCGGCCTCATGTCAACCCTCTTCTCCCTGTTCCACCCTTTCATCTTCCCCTCTCGCTTCCTCGTGTCTCTCTCTACCCCCATCAGGAGGGGCATCGCATTTTGCTCTTCTCGTACGGCTCGGGCCTCATGTCAACGCTCTTCTCGCTTACCGTGCGCCAAGCTGCCGACCCCTTCTCCCTCACTGCGCTCACCGCTCATCTGGACGTGCACCAGCTGCTCGAGTCTCGCACCAAGGTGGGTGGGTGGGTGGGTGGGTTTGAGAGTGTGTGAGTGTGTGAGTGTGGTTGCACGGGTGGGTGGATGGTGACTGTGCTCTCTGCAAGCCATCGCCTGCTGCACATCTCAGTGTGCGTTGACTGCCAACCCCTTCTCCCTCGCCACACTTACTGCTCATCTGGACGCTGCTGGAGTTTTGAAACTGCTGGAACTTCGCACCAATTTGTTTTCTTCCTGGCAAGTTGTTTCAAGGCAAATGCGAACGGCAGAGCTGCACAGATCGACATGAAATCAACACACTTGCCTTGCCTACTTTGTCACACCACTCACACGCACATGCTCCTTCCCTGCCTGCTTGTCTGCCGTAACCAGGTAACACCGGAGGAGTTTGTAAAGACAATGCATCTGATGGAATCCCGATACGGTGCGTGCTCCTTCACCCCAGCCACTCCCACGGATCGCCTTCAGCTTGGCACCTACTACCTCACGCTAGTGGATGATTTGTACCGGCGATCATATGCGCGGAAAGGTGTAGATGCTGACAAGGCGTCTGTTGATGGAGCAGTTGATGCTGTTACCAACGGGGTTGTGGTTTAGTGGATGGAGAATGGAGGTGCAATGAGGTCCAAGGAAGTGCAGCTCGAGAGTCGAGATAGCTTAGGGGTACGTGAGCTTAGTGAAAAGTTTTTGTTAGCTTTTGATTCAGGTTGTACTTCTAGTGCAGAGCACGAACGCTGCACTTCGTTGGACCTTACGAATATTTGCAATTCTTGCATTCAAGAGGGTCAATGTATGTTCTTACAACACTGGTTGTGCTGAAAAGGAGATTGGGAAGATACGGTTGGGAAGTTTGACGGGAACATTAATTGAGCTGAAATTGTTACACGACCGATTGACTCAATAACGAGAACATATCTTCCCACATACCGTCTTGGATTTTTTTCCGTTTCCTGATATTATTAGGGTTCTTTATTATCCTATTCAGCGATAGATTTTTGTGTCCTCATCTCCTTCCTTCCGTCCGTCCCTTCGTCGTTCCTCGTTCGTACGCGTCACGCCAGCATGCAGCCGGCAGCCCCCGCGGGGCAATGGGGAGGAGCGCAAGCCGCGACCGGCGCCGGCGCCGGCGCAGGCGGAGCGGATGAGCCGCGGACGCTGTGGGTGGGCGATCTGCAATACTGGATGGACGAGACGTACCTCTGGAACGCGTTCGCGTCCACGGGCCAGGTCAGTTGGCGTGCCGTTGAACTCTAGAAATTTCGGGTAATTTTTAGATCCAGCTGTAAAGAATATATCTCTCAGAGACCTCCAGTACTGGATGGTCGAGGCGTATTCTTTAGTACGCGTTCCATCGATAGGAGTTTTTGTTCCACAGGCGGCGCCAGTCGGTGTTCCATCGACCTCTACAACAAACGTTTCGGTAAAAAAAAAAGATTTCAAGGATCGGCACTATGGACGAGACTTACCTTTTCTGCCACGTACGAGGTCTTTAGGTGTCCAAGCGTTTAAAAAAAATCCTATAAGATCTCTCTCTCTTAATTATTTGCCAAGTTGGACGGACGATACTGGAGCTCAATTGAACTGCTATTTAGTTATCCTCCCCCAAACCCGCTTCCTCCCCCTTTTTACCGTGGTACTTCCCCCCGTGTCCATCGCCAAAGGTTGCTAACGCTAAAATCATCCGCAACAGGGCGACAGGGCAGCCCGAGGGGTACGGGTTCGTGGAGTTCACGACTCATGCAGCAGCGGAGCAGGCGCTAGCGGCCTACCAGGGCACGCCCATGCCTCAGGCGGAGCAGCAGCCCTTCCGCATCAACTGGGCTGCGTTTGGCGCCGGGGAAAAAGGGTGAGGAGAGGGGGACAGGGATGGGGAAATGCGTTGGGTATGGATGGGCCGAGGTGTGTGAGGGTGATGGGGCTTCACAACACAGCAGGCACTAGCGACCTACCCACGCCCATGCCTCAGGCGGAGCAGCAGCCCTTCCGCATCAACTGGGCTGCCTTTTGGGGCTGGGATTAAGGGGCGAGGAAGGGGGGGTGGTTCAGATTCAGAGAAGAGCGGATAGAAATAAGCAGGGGCGAGAGAGGGGTGAGGAGGGAGGGAGAGAGGGGGGGGAATGGGTAATCAAGGGAGAGAGGCGAGGAGAAATGAAAGTCAACAGTGCGAGTTCGATTGCTCTAGTGGGTGCATGCTTTGTTTACTCTTGTCCATTTCGTCACCCATGCATTTCAACATATCCCCTACTGTCCGTACCAGCGGCGGCCGGCCAGCGGGCGGCCAGCGGACGGGCAGGAGTTCTCCATATTCGTGGATAGGCGACTGGCCTCCGTAACACCTTCCTCCTTCTCCCCCCTCTCCCCTCGCAATTCTCTTCTTCATACTGTGTGTGTACTACCAGTGGTGGGCGGCCAGCGGACGGGCAGGAGTTCTCCATATTCGTGGGCGACCTGGCTCCAGACGTGAACGACTACTTGCTCTGTGAAACCTTCCGCTGCCGCTACGGCTCCGTGAGAGGCGCCAAGGTGATGCCAGAGGGAGGGTTTAGGGCTCATGGCTCATGGTTTCGGGTTAAGAGTTCCAAGCTTAGGGTTGAGGTTGAGGGGTGCGTATGGCAGGCAAGACCTGGCCTCCAGACGTGAATGACTCTCTGTTTTGCGAACCTTCCACTGCCGCTACGGCTCCGTTTTAGGTGAGGGCAAGGGAAGGGCTTAGGGCAGTGTGCTCAGGGCTTGGGTTTTAAAACTTCAAGCTCGAGGGAAGGTTTAGGGTCGAGGAAAATGTAAGTGGGCGAACAAGGGGTATAGCTTTGTGCAGCTTTCCTTTGTGGACTTACCGTCTTTTCCTTTCCCATCAAAATCTTCCAACTCCTCCCTCCCTCCTGCGCTCCCCGCGCCTGTCCCCCTCTTTGCCTTCCCCTTCTATCTAACAGGTGGTGGTGGACAATGTGAGTGGGCGCACCAAGGGGCGTGGCTTTGCGCGCTTCTCCCCAAGGGCCTCCCTTACCCCTCCCCCTTCTCCCGCTCCCCCCCCCCCACCAACCTCCCTTCCCCGCACTGGACATCAGGTGGTGGTGGACAACGTGAGTGGGCGCGCCAAGGGGTATGGCTTCGTGCGATTCTCCTCATAGGCCTGAAACCACCCCCTCCCTTCTTCCCGCCCCAATTTCCATCCCTCCCCTTTTCCCCATCGCTCCCTGCCGCGCCTCCCGTGCGTCTATTGATCAGGTCGTGGTGGACAATGTGAGTGGGCGCACCAAGGGTTATGGCTTCATCCGATTCTCCTCAAACCAACCACTACTACTCCCCCTCCCCCCCCCCTCTTCCCACCCCCTCTTTACTCTGTCACGTCACCCACCCCCCCTTTCCCCATTCCCCCTTCCCCGCCCCCCCCCCTCCTCCTCTATTGATCAGGTGGTGGTGGACAATGTGAGTGGGCGCACCAAGGGGTACGGCTTCGTCCGATTCTCCTCGGAGGAGGAGCGGGACCGTGCATTGCACGAGATGAACGGCCAGATGTGCTCCTCCCGCCCCATGCGCATCAGCGTCGCCACTCCCAAGAAGCCCGGGGCGCCGGGGCAGGGTGAGGTGGTGGGTAGGAGGGGTGTGAGGATAGGATGGGGCAGGATGCGGCAGGCTGTGGGCTGGTGGGGTGAATATGGGTAGTGGGCGGTGGGATAGGGGTGAGGAGAATGTAACGTGCTCCTCTCCTCCCGCCCCATGCGCATCAGCATCGCCACTCCCAAGAAGCCTGGCGTGCCGGGGCAGGGTAAGGGGCAGAGGATGAGGCAGGCTGTGGAGCGAAGGGGTAAGAATGGGTGATGGCTGTAGGGTGGGAGTGTGATGTGCTCTTCCCGTCCCATGCGCATCAGCGTCACCACGTTTTGAGTCGACTCAAAGCACGCCCCATGCGCATCAGCGTTGCCACTCCCAAGAAGCCCGGGCACAGGGGGCAGGCTGGAGTCACTTTTCAAAGTCTTTCAAACTCACAAGGCGCTTTTGTTCCCTTCTTTACGCGATTTCTTGACCTGATCTTCGCCATCACTTCAGGTGGCCCGCAGGGTGGGCAAGGCGGAGGTCCAAGGGCAGGCCCTCAGCCCCAGGCGCAGGGACCAGGGGGCGAGGACGACCCCAGCAACACCACGGTGAGCTGAGGCAATGTGTGGCAATGTGTGGCAATGTGTGGCAATGTGTGGCAATGTGTGGCAATGTGTGGCAATGTGTGGCAATGTGTGGCAATGTGTGGCAATGTGTGGCAATGTGTGGCAATGTGTGGCAATGTGTGGCAATGTGTGGCAATGTGTGGCAATGTGTGGCAATGTGTGGCAATGTGTGGCAATGTGTGGCAATGTGTGGCAATGTGTGGCAATGTGTGGCAATGTGTGGCAATGTGTGGCAATGTGTGGCAATTTGTGGCAATGTGTGGCAATGTGTGGCAATGTGTGGCAATTTGTGGGTTGGCTGGGCAAGGGGCGGGCGAGGGCAGGCCTCCAGCCACAGGGACCAGGGGGAGAGGACGACCCCACCAACAGCACAGTGAGTGAGCAGATTGTATGGTGGCTGGTCAATGGGAGGGGCGAGGTCAGATCTTTAGGCTGAGAAGCCAGAGGGAGAGGACGACCTACTAACACTGTGGCATGGATAGTGAACCGAGTGCAGTCGGGTAATTTTAGATATGTGTGGGCTGGGCGGCTTGAACCGGATTGTGGCAGGTGAGCGGCTGAGCGCGGTGTCTGGTTGGACAGGAAAGGCTGAGATGGTGTTTGAGTCGACTCTAAAGCGTCCTTCTCCTTCCCGCTTCCTATTTCACTGTCCATTCCTCGTCTTTGTTTTGTTTGGGGGGGGGGGGGGGGCAGGCTTGAATTGAGTGTGACAGATGGGCAGTTTAGGATGGTGTTTGGGCTGTGGAGCGAGCTGAGGTGGTGTGGTGTTTGAGTCCACCGTACAGCGATGTTTGCGTTCCGTCATTCTTGCCGTTTCACTGCCCATCCCACGGCAGATCTTTGTGGGAGGGTTGGACCAGAGTGTGACGGACGAGCAGCTGAGAGCGGTGTTTGGGCCGTGGGGCGAGCTGGTATACGTGAAGATCCCATTCGGCAAGGGCTGTGGCTTCGTGCAGTTCCGACACCGGTGGGTGCATTGTGCATGGGTGGATAGATGGGTGCATGGTTGGATTGGTGCATGGGTGCATGGTGGAAAGGGCGGATGATGGTTGCTACAGCCGTTTGGCGAGCTGGTGTATGTGAATATCCCGTTCGGCAAGGGCTGTGGCTTCGTGCAGTTGCGACACCGGTGAGTTCATGGGTGCATAGTGGATGGATGGATTGGTGCATGGGTGCACGGGTGCATGGTGCATGGGTGCATGGGTGCATGGTGGAAAGTGTGGATTTTGGTTGCTGCAGCAACCATGGGGCGGGCGAGCTGGTGTATGTGAAGATCCCATTTGGCAAGGGCTGTGGATTCGTGAAGTTTCGACACCGGTGGGTGCATTGTGCATGGTGGATGGGTGCATGGGTGCAGGCAGGCAGAGGAGGCGCCGAGGAACAGGCATGGTACGGTCATTGGGTTTTATGGCGCCTGCGAAGCAATTTACGTGTTGCTTACTGCTTTCGGTCCCGGGTTTCCTTCCTGTACTCTCAGATCGCAGGCAGAGGAGGCGCTAAGGAACATGCATGGCTTAGTCATCAGGTTTTGAGGCGGCTCACAAGCAATTTCGGTGCTGTTTCCTGCTTTCCGTCCTGATTTCCCCCCCCCCCCAAATTGTCAGATCGCAGGCAGAGGAGGCGCTGAGGAACATGCATGGCACGGTCATCAGGTTTTGAGGCGGCTCACAATCTCCGTGCCGTTTCCTGCTTTTTGTCCTGCTTTCCGTCCTGATTTTCCTCCTCCCCATTGGCAGATCACAGGCAGAGGAGGCGCTGAGGAACATGCATGGCACGGTCATTGGGCAGCAGTCTGTGCGGCTCTCATGGGGCCGCAATCCCGCCACAAAGGTAAGTCTCCCTCATGCATATGTATGTGCATTTGTTTGTGCACGTGTATGTGCATGTGCATGTGCATGTGCATGTGCATGTGCATGTGCATGTGCCGCATGTGCATGTGCATGTCTCTGTCTCTGTCTATTTCTGTGTGTATGTGTATGTGTATGTGTATGTGTATGTGTATGTGTATGCGTATGCGTATGGGCATGTGTATGTGTATGCGCATGTGTATGTGCATGTGCATGTGCATGTGCATGTGCATGTGTATGTGTATGTGCACGTGCATGCGCATGCGTGTGCATGTACTTGTGCATGCGTGTGGTCAGAGGGATTCCATGTGGTCATATACATATGATGAAACCATGTGGACATTTTTATACGCATGATGCACCTTTTAGCTTCATACCACTTCTCTGTTTCGTTTTTCTCACTCCAGTGCCTCTCCTGGCTGCTAATTTTCTGTTGTCTCCTTGTTTTATTGTGATTCTTTGCACAGCGTACCTCAACTTACCCCTCCCAAGGCTCTCAGTGGCAGCAGCCACAGCAGCAGCATGATCCCAACGCAGCAGCAGCAGGTGGTTGGGGCGCTGCTGCTGGTAACACTGGTTACTATGGAGGGTACAGTGGTTACGATGCTTCAGGGGGCTACAACCAGGGAGCGTATGCTTCATATGGTGGATATGGAGGCTACGGTGGCTACGGGCAGCAACAGGTATGTGTTTACATGAGAGAGTTTCAAGCAGTCATTACTGTTCAGCTCATGATGTACTGGCTTGACTGCATGCTTGTATGGGACTCTCTGTATTCACATCGTTTTTACTGTGGTGCCAGGTTTGGCCTCAAGCTCAAGCTGCTCCAGCGGCAGCAGCAGCATCCCCCGCCACAACACCAGCACCACAAAGTGCAGCAGCAGCTCCTGTGTCTGGATTTGCAGCTGGAGTGACCCCAGAACCGTTTGATCCCCTGCGCCCCCTTGACGTGGACAAGTGAGTGAACTGCTGCCCGTTTTGCTGTTAATCCCCCATGTGTCCCACCCTTGAGATATGGACCCTTGTTATTTTTCTCAACCTCTTTCTCAACAAATTTTGTGGCCGCATGCTTGATGAGTTTGCCAACTTTTTTGTTTTTTGTCCATGCGCGCATTGCTTGTTTGCAGGATGAATGCTCAATATATGGCAAAGCACGAGGGGTCTCTTGTGCCTCATCATGTTTGGTTTAAAATGCCAGAATCGGCAACTGCGTAGAGCGTTTTGCATCAGTGTTATCTTCGTGTTATCTTCACTTGGAGCATTGATATTGTCAACAATGTAGTAGAATTTGTTAGTCCAGCTAGAAGTTCACATGCTCACCCCTCCAACCAAAAACACCAGAGCAGAGCACTGGAGGGCATAAGCTCAACTGCCTGCACATAATCGTTCCACTCATGTAGGTGACCTTGGGCTCACTGGAGAAGTCCACCTCTTGTGCAGGGCTTTGAGTTCATGCACTATCTGTGAAAATGATGGCCTTTCAGAAGATTTCCTGCTTGGGAGAAAGTGGGAATCTTAGAAAAGAAAAAACAAGAAGGGGAAAACGAACAAGGATATGGGACATACTCTGCCCAGCAAGCTTTGATAATTTCTGAAACAGCAGGATCAACCGATGCTGGTATATCCAGCCTCCTTTGCTGGAATCCAACAGCTCCAACAACTTGCATGGCGTTCAAGCCCCTCCACGGGCGTTGCATTGTAGAGAGCTCCCAAAGGACTACACCAAAACTGTAAACATCACTCCTGAAAACAAAACAACTCAAATTAGGTAGAAAGCACACATTTACTGAACAAGGGGCGTGAAAAGAGTGGAAAAGGGGGACGGAGGTTTAGGCAGAAGTGGCTGGAGCACAAGCAGACAGCCTACTTCTCATTTGTAGGTTCATTACGCAGCACTTCTGGGGCCATCCACTCTGGCTGCAAATGATGACCATGATGTCAAAACTCAGATACATCAACAGTGAAGCAGAATGGATCATACATACTGTTCCAGCTGCCGTCCTTGACGAGAGATACGTCTGATGCTTGATCTTTGACAGGCCAAAGTCACAAACCTAGAGGGCACCCGTGTCAGTGTTGCTGCACGTTTCACAGTCCAAGAAATAACGCACATAGAAGAATGTTTCACCTTCACGACCCAATTCTTATCCACAAGAAGGTTTTGAGATTTGAGGTCTCTGTGAACGATAGGAGGGTTGCAGCAGTGAAGGTAATTCATCCCCTTCGCCTGCAAACACAACGTCACTTGAATTGTGTTTATTGTAGAAGGGGATCCTACAAGAAAACTAACTCACCACATCCAGTGCCATCTTTAATCGTCGCCGCTCATCCATGCTTGACGATGCATTTGGCCTTGTCAGCAGTCGGAAAATACTTCCCCTGGCACTCCAAACAAGTTAACCATGAGGGTTGACAATCACGGAATGCAACAAAACACACGTACCTTGGGAGAAATTCTGTCACAATTGACAGATGTGGAGGGTCAATAATTGCACCCATGAAAAGCAGAATGTTCGGATGACGTAGTCGATGCATCATAGCAACCTGTGCTGAGCGGTAGAGTGAGATTATCCTGGGTACATTACAACTATGACGATGCGGAAGGATTCGGCCAAATGAATACGGTACCTCAGACTTGAAATCTTCAACAGCGTCAGCTGGGATTTCTTGATCTATCAGCTTCTTCACTGCAACCTCCTGCCAAAAGCGAGTGTCAACAGAGTGTAATCTGCCAATAAGACCAAGCAAAGCCAGAACAAAGATTCGTACAAAGCCATTCCATTCGCCCTTGAACACTTCTCCAAAGGACCCTGCAAGTGCAAGGCAGCTCGTTTGTCAGCATTGAATATGGGAGCTTTGATTGTTCAAGGCACATCACATACCTAGTCCCACTCGTTCTCCAAGTGACACTGCCCCCCTTGGAATCAAATAGCCATCCATCGTATATATTTTGATCTCTTTTGTGAAACTGAAATCGTTTGGGTCTTCACATACTGACTGCGAAGCATTTTCACCGTTGTTGTCGGTCTCATCTGCCATGAATACACTCTGCTGCTGAAAAATGTACATGAACACTTCAGCAGGCTTGAATTCTAGCTTTCACTCATGAATTACCTGCTTCCAACCTTGCTTCCTCTGTTTCCACAGCCTGAACATATTGAGATGTCCTGGTCAGTCAAGGACAAGCAGAAATGATGATGAAAGAGCACAATAAGATACTCGTTACCTGATTGTCTGAAAACAGCTGTCGCTTTTCTTTATCAGGAGACTGCAGAACAGCCTGAGAAAGGAAGTCTCAACATGAGTTGATGCCACGCATTTGTCAGTCATAATGAAAGTTTGTATACCTTTAGCCTCTGAGCAAATCTTGGATTCTCCTTGGCAACATCTGCAACAAGCATGGGAACTTGTGGGGAACCCCATCCATCCGTCCAGGAAGGTGATCTGCGTCGGTTCTTCCTGTCTTCGGGACGGAACATTGGGCTGCTGCTTCCGACATCTGATCCACTTTGAGGACCAGATTGATCACTCAGAGGCGTTTGCCCAAAACGTGTTTTCCGAGAATCAGGTCCTGGTCCTGTTAAGGTGTTTTGAGTCAAAGTCTAGGGCTAACTGGCTTACAGTCTAGGGATTGAATTGCTGTACACGTACCATCCTGTAATTTCGCCATAGATGCCACCAACGCAGGAAAGATCTCTGTTCCCACTTCACAGTATTCACCAACCGGACTTGCAATTGGTGAAATTGTAGGCGTTTCCAGATTTGTAACCGGGACTAAAAGGCCTGGAGCTTTCATTAGATCAACCACATATTCTGAACCATTTTCATCTCGAATCTTGGCCCTTGCATCATCCTTTGTGCCAGTGTAGAACCGACCACGGACAATGCAGCAAGGTACGCCAACTTTATCCGCCAGCACCTGGAAGGCAACACATGCCAATGAAGCTCACTCAAACAATACGCAACTGGTAAAGCGAGTTTGACACACCTTAAAGAGAAGCACCCTGTGCCTGATCAATCCAGAAGTAATCAAGCCAAGTGAAATGTAGTGATTCCTAAAAGCGCTCTTAATCTTCCAATATACAGATCGCCAGTCAGACTGCAGCGACTGGTCTGAGTCAGCTGTTCCTCCCATACGGTTTGCAACGAGCTCTGCCAAACGAACTGCGATGCCTCGCCAACCGAGTTTTGCAGTTGTGCGAGCGCCGGTAGGACTGGGTGGACTATCAATCAACATTGCTTTGCGTTCAAGAAGGATCAGCTCAGCGTCTGACTTTCTGTCCACTAAAACAGCCTCAACGGTCGCTGGAAAGTTGTCAAGGATGATGGATGATGACAATGGGAACTGCTCGGCTGCTCCCCAAACGTCAACGAAACCATCAGGGACTTTGTCTCCATATGTTAGCATGTTCTTCTTCTGCACATTTGTCAGTGTTAACGAGGCCCTGGGATAACATAAGCAAGAGCGGCAGACATACCCAGTAAGTCTCAGAGAAGGCAAGAGCTGCGGTAACAGGTGATTCTGGTGGGGTCGATACGCTCAATCCACGCAACGACTTGATGGAGCTCCATGTGTTGAGCTCAACGGAGGAATTGATGAGGGCAGTTGATAATACGGCGTGAGCGTCTTCATCTGGTGTGCTCGCGACCTTCGCTTCGCCTACACCTGACGTGGATACATCTTTCACCTCACTCGCACTCGAACGCTGATTATCTGGATTCATAGAGGAAATACAAAGCTGGGAAGTGGTTCGTGTGAGAATGGCATTCAGGTAGAAATAAAATCAAGTCATGGATGGGAACGAACAACGAGGTTTCAGCTCAAAACATTCCCTAGTGGGTGTTTCGTGATTAGCATAAACAGGCTGTGGCAAATGACATTTGGTTGCTACAACAACTTCAATACACTGTCCGTCTTCAGTACAGTTCAACAGACATCGGTACTCGTCCAACCCACAACACTACACCACCACATCCACAACCGTCGAGCACGAGATTCTGAGCCTGAGTGACCAGCCACTTATCTCTAGCAAATTCAAGCTGGTCAGCGAACCGCCAGCATCATGTCGTTCCTGAACAGATTGCTTGCATCTCAAGAAGCTCGAGTTAGGGGAGGCACGGCGCACGATCCTTTGGTTGACGGTTTGCGTTCGTCTTTGAAGCTTGACGAGGAGAAGTCAGAAGGTTCCGATGGCGAGTTCTGTGCGATATGTTGTGAAGACACGTCTGCGGACTTATACTTCATCCCTTGCCGCCACAAAGCGTGCGCAGATTGCGTCCAGAAGCTCAGACAGTCTGCTGTTTTCAAGGTCCTGATGCTAACCATTTTCTGTGTGGTTGCTTGTCAGTAGCCATGGTTGCAACTAGAGTAATCATGAACGTGAATCCTTACGTCTCGTTGCATGCAGGCTGATAAAGGAGTCCGCTGCCCTTTCTGCCGTCAGATTGTTGAAAGCTATTCTAACACGTTACCTCCAGTCAAATGCATCAAGCCTCAAGATGATTACCTGCGAGAAGAGAGGCAATCCTTTCAGTTACTCATTGGAGCTGGGAGCGCCAAAGGGTTGGCCAAAGAAATTGTACGGTATGGACGGAGCGGAGTTGTCTCAATTGGGGGATTGAATGAGTATGTTCCTCCTCCAAGCGTCACTGGGGCTGATGGGAGTGGATTGCGGTTGAACACGCGACCAGATGACCTGAAAGAAGGTTACATTGTCCCTCCTTTGAAGCCTTACGATGACTTCGTCGCCATGGCTTATGATCGCACAGTACGTTCTTGCATGAATGATTTTCTCGTTATCATAGCGATTTGGTATTGACCTGCTGCGTTTTATACACTACCAGGGGTCAAGGCACCTGGCATACCACTTGCGTCCAGGAAACCCTAGAAGGTCTAGGGTGGGAAAACAAGCTCTTGAAAGTCTCGCTCCTCATGCCGCAAAGCTCTCAACACATTGTGAGTCACCACTCTTCGCCATTGGTCAGAATTCCTATTTCTTCGTTCTCTGACATTCTCTGTTCAGTGTCAGGAAATTATGTCCTGCAAAAGCTTTTTGACTATGCGAGTAATGCGAGGAATGAGGTGGTTCATGGGGAGTGTGGCTTCACCTCCATTGTGCGCTTCTTGACCCGTGACAAGGGGCTAGTGACTTCTTCAAAAGATCAGCGGGGTACCTTTACAATTCAGAAAATGGTTAGTTAGAAGGAATTTTGCACTGATTCAGGAAGCTGGATGCATCATCTCACAACCGGTCTGGTGGTCTGGCAGCTTGTGTGCCTCTATGGAGCTCAAGAAATGAAGATGGTTATGGAAAGCATTAAAGGAAGGATTGTAAGACTCCTAAAGCTCTCCCCTCCATCTCTTTGTCTTCAAAGCGACTGACTGATTCCCGGTTTTTTATGTGCAGCTTTCAATGGTGATGGACCAGTATGCAGTTTATGTTATTGAAAGAATCGTAAGTTGCTGTTTTTCCCAGTATCCCTTTTGAACTGCTTTCCAGTTGGGAATCCAGTGAATTGATTCTGTCATTGCATAACCTTCTGCAGGCTGAAATATGCATTTGTTCCTTACGCCCGCCTATGGGAATGAAAGCACGAATTCCACCATCCTTAGCATTCACTTCTTTAGCACAAATATGTGCGGAGCTTGGTAAAGATCAAGAAACGTCAGTTTATGTTGGACAACATGGGGTAAGTCAGGGCCTACTGCCGCTTTTGTTTTCTTTGTGAATCTGTTGTTTGCATCATAACTGGTGTGTTCAATGGATCCAGCTGGCATCACTGCTTCTAATTGAGAGTATTCGCTGGTCACTGCCTTCAAGGCACGCAATTGCTGCTGCTCTGAATATGGCGAGTGGTGGTAATAAGCTCTTGAAGACCCGCGCTGGAGTTCGCTCCATGCAAGGCCTCTTAAGGTATAGTTCTTGAGGCTCCTCAATATATCAATCACTTCCATACGCATTTGTTAGCTGACTCTATTATATTACGCTTGTCTCAGCTTGGATCTGGTCGAAGTAGCCGAGACTATGCTGGGGTCAATGTCTGGCTGCTTTTCAGACATGGCTTGTGATACCTCCCCGCTGCAGAGTGGGCGGCTGTAGAGCGTGTCTTGCAACACCATCTTGTAAGTTTTGTTAAGCGCTGCATTGCTGGAAAGTGGTTTATTCATATTGTTCTTACAAATCATGCTGTCGAGAATGCAGTACCATCAGCGTCAAGGGCAAGAATTGTTGATGAACTTCTCGAGGCAGCTGCACATGTTTCATATTTTTCCAAGTCCGAACAAGCCCTGGAAATTCTGTGTTTTGGCCTGAGCATTCTTCCTGACGAGTAAGTAGCAACGTCTTTACATGCAAATTGAAGCCAGTATACATCTTTGTTCTTCACTTTTCTACTCCGTGGCCACAATTTCTTATGGAACAATTTGCTGATTCATTGTTTGTTCCATTACTTTTCACTAGCATATTGCTGGGTTCCGTTCAGCTATCTCCCTCTGCACCCCATCCCTGTTTGCCTCTTCCGCTTCTCCGCTTTGCCGCATCCCACCATCATCTCATCCTTCAATGAAATTTACACATTTTTCTTCCCCTGCCCCCTGTTATGTTGGTTCTTCTTTCCCTCACCTGCTCTCCCACTTACAGCATGTTGAATGTGAGGGTCGACCGAGTGTCAAGCCTGCTAAGTTCGCAAGCATTTCATCATCTTCTGACGACCCTTGAGTACATGAGAAAAACCTACTACACAGAGTCAGCTAAACCTTTTGGTCATTCTGAGAGGGTTAATCAGGCCGCGGAGGTCACTTCGGGCATTGCTGTTCCTCTCGAATCCGAAGCTTTCCCGGAGCTTTCGAAGCCGAAGCCAGCACATCCTTCCAATCAGTTAGTTCGTAGTGCTGATTCTTTGGTGCAGCAAAAGCGGGTTGCACAGCCTCTTTCAGTTCAAGTCTCACATCCAAAGCCAGAACCAATCCGTCCCGTTCAGAATCTACCTTCTGATTCTGCTTATGGCAACAACTCTACGGAAATTTCATGTGTGAAATCAGAATTAAGTGCAAGTGAAGCAGATGATGCTAGTTATGGGTGCTGTGTGGTCTGCAAGTCCCAGCCTGCTACTGTGGTGAGTTCTTTTATCTTCTCTACAGAAGTGTGCTATTGAGAATGCAGTTCTGATGCAATGATTTTCACGTTTTTGCAGCTTCTTCTGGAGTGTTCTCACGTGTGTTCATGTGCCAAGTGCTCTCCATCCTTGGCTCTTTGCCCCATCTGCAAGAATCCAGTATCGCTGACCATTGAGCTTCAGTTGTCATCCCCTCCACCTTCAACAAAAGCTCCTATACAGCCGGTCTGTGATGCTGAAGCCGACCGAATGCCACATGTCTCTGCAGCTGCTACTACGAGCAGTGTTTCTGGACTACAGCACAGTACCAACTGGCAAATGGGTAGTGCTGAAATGCAGCAGCAGGCTGCGTTCGCCTCTGGGACCACTTCTGGTGTTTCGTCCTCCTTATTTTTGTCAGACCCACTCAACTCCTTGCCTACATCGTATCAGCCGCCGCTCTCTGAAGGAGTCAGTTCTTTTCAGCCATCGTCGCAAGCCGTTCAGACTGAGAATTACTCTGTACCGAGTGGGAGCTTTGAATATCTACCAGCAGCTCCTATCAACCAGTTTCTGGGGAACAGCCGCCACAATGGCACATTTGCTCTTCGTCCATATCAGCCCTCTCATGCTTTTGCTCAAGCTCCACAGCGTCCAGAATCATTTGTTCCTCCCCTCGCTCACTCGGATTCTTTTCTTCATGCCCCTCGCTCACTCAGTCCTGCAGCACTGAATTGGCCACAGAGTGATGCCCAGAATGGCTTTGGCTCAGCTATGACCAGTCAAGTTCGTGCACCATCAATGTATCAGCCACCAGGGCTGTTTTAGGTGCCGTTCGTTGTGCACTGTGCACTGTCGCAGCTTAGTATTGTGATGCAAGCTCATTTGCTAGTATCTTACTGGAACGTTTTACTGTTGTGACTCTTGTTTTCCTTGTGTTCCTCTCCTGCTGCTCCTGTGACCTGACTCTGCTACTTACGTCCGTCACATCCTAGATTTCCATGACTGCCGAATGCAGCTTGGTTGTTTTTCTCTTATCCATTAATTGAGCTGCACTTCTAGCAGTTTGTTGGATACATGTGAAGTTGTATGAACGTAATAGAATGGAACCTGTGCTTAAATCCGCAATTGTTCTGTATGCAGATAGGTCTGCAAATACTGTATGTGATGGGTGACGATTAAGTTATTAAGGTAAGCATAGCATTCGCTCTACACTTGTGAGAACGCTTCATGCTGATTGAGCTCTCGGTAGTAGAATCTCCTCAACAGTCACATTTTTGTGGATTTTGAATGTGCGTTTGGCTGAGGCCTCTGACCAAGAGCCTGACGACCACTCATCGCAGTTTTCGCCCTAGCTTCCTGTTGCGCAGCCTTGTTCCCGCACAACCGCCTTTTGCGCGCGCATTCGCTTCTTCCCCCAACCTCGGACCCCCCGCGTCATCCACAAGTCTCTCCGCTTTCCCCAGCCAATCTCATCCTCTCCGCTTCTTCGTCTCGCTCCGCCTCTTTTCTTCGGGTGGCAGGCGTGACTCGCGATTTCGATTGCTGCTAGTGGAGCAGTGAGGATAAAAGCTAGGGTTACCAAATCCCATAGTTTCCGCTTCCTTCCTTTCTTCCTCCTACCATTTCAAATCATGGCCGTTCTCCACATCGATTGACTACCTGTCTTTGTCGCAACATGGACTGCTAACGTTCCGTTCGTTCTGATAACACCTTTTCCGCCTAGAGATTAATTGTTGCGACCTTGTCGTTGCGGTTGCGACGAAGTCGCGGGAAGTTGATTTGGCCGCTGAGCTCGTTTCTGCGGTTCTGAGGTGTTTCCTTTAGGTAAATACGCTCCATCATTTACACGCTAATCTCTCGATCGTTAGCCAACTTGCATCGGCCTTGTAGAGTAGTCCTCATACTCACTGTCGTCGCTGCAATCGCCTGTATTTATTTGGACAGTTCCTCATGGTTGAAGGCCTGAGTGCGATTTGCTCTTTTCTTGGTCCCCATTAGGCATCCTATAGCTCTTACTATAGTATATGCGGGCCCTTTGGGTTCAGATTTAGTAAGGGTTGTCTTGAGCAGCGTTGTTTAGAACGGCGGATTCGCCTTTCTCCAAGTAGTGAGACACTGGATCTCTGACGGATACGGAGTGCTAGATTTTTTCGGCAGTAGTTAAAGGTGATTGTCGCCCTAGGCTAGCTCCGCGTTGTTTCCGAATGCTAAGGGGTTTCATTGAGTTACCAATTTGACACGCGTCCGATGCGTATTGGTTAACGACTACCGCCTGTCGGCTGATGCTTAGTGGTTGGTGGGATGTGTTCAGGCAAGCTGGATCTGCGAAGAAAGCGAAATGCCCGGTAGATGTTCAGCGTTGATCCGACAATGTACTACCCTTATAGACAAGATGCCTCTGTCAAGGAGGTATGTCTCTACTCTCTCACGGTCATCTTCGTATCCTCGTCGCATCCGCTTCCGACGCGTGTTGGCTGGAAACCATGTTTTTCTAGCGGATGCTCTATCAGCTCGCCGTTTTCGCAATTCTGTGCGTTTTCTTAACACATACGGATTGCAAAATGACGTGTCCTATGGCCTTGCAGCAGTCGATGCTTAACACATCAACACCAGCCGTGCTTGATTCGGGGAACTCCAGTCGCCAATTCGCATCATCGTTTGCAGCGCCACAGACACAAGCAGCAAATCCAGGAGCGTTCCATCACGGAGGTGAGCTGAGCTTCTTAGCGTTGTTAGGATTCGGCGAAGTCATAAGCACCACACACATGCCCAGGGACGTTTCATGGGAAAAGTAAGCAAGTAAGCTGAGTTCTCGTCCACCCGTCCGGTCGACGCGCTTTTTCTTTCCGTGGTGTAGTAGACTTGCAATTGCAATGAGTTTATCCTTCCGTTTCCCTCCTCCGCTGTGTCCCGTTCTTTCGGTGGGTGTGTATGTGTGTGTGTTTTGTTTTGTTTTTTTGTGTGTTTTTTTTTGCTTATTTGTCATGTGGCAACTTCCAGCCGCTGGGACTGGCCTCAGCACACGGAGTACGCAGAACTCTCTTGTAATCTCCTCCATTATTCTACCCTCCATATATCATCAGGTAACTTGCAATCGTTGCACAATGTGCAAGCGACGGGGTACAACATACAGAGTATGCAGAACGCACTTACGAGAGGCACGGGAATGGGCGGAGTGCCTTCCGCGCAGGCACAACCTCCGTCCGCAGGCAACATGGCGGCAGGGCGGTTCGGCACCAGCACGATCCCTGCCAACCTGCAGCAGGTAAGGGAAGGGGGGAGGGGGGAATCATTGTTTGTTTTGCGCGGAGGCTTTTTGGGTGTTTTTGGAAGCACTGGCCAGCACGGGACAGTGCGGCGAGGGTGGGGTTGGCTTGGCGCACTTTTCTTTTCGTGTCTTGCTGTCTCGTGCTCTCTTTCTGCTTGTCCTCCTGCGCTGCCTCTCTCTCTCGCTTTGGCTTCTCGAGTCGTTTTTCTCGGTTTCTTTTCTCTCTCTTTTTTCTCCTTCTCTCTCCTCCATGACACAAAACACAACACTCGCGTTCTCTACTTGCAACCTCGTCGCTCCTCCCCCACGTTCTCTAATCAACTCCTTCTGTCATCACCACCACCACCAACACCACAACCACCAACCAACACCACCGCCACCACCGGCGCCGCAGCAGCAGCAGCAGATCCCAGGACTGCACGCGCACACAGGCGCGGTGACCAACCGGGGGAGCGGAGTGAGCCTAGTAGGCGGTCACCCCTTCGCGGGCAGCATGAGCGGACTATCCGGCGGAGCAGGCGCGCCCGGAGTAGCAACAGCGGGCGGGGGGATGAGCGGAATGAGCGGAATGAGCGGAATGACTGGGATGAGCGGGATGAGCGGAATGAGCGCGAACGTGCCTGGGCAGCGGACAATCGGCTCCGCGGGTCTAGGGGTGAACCCGTCGCAGATTGCGGGGTCGGCGGGGAGACTAGGCGCGCCCGGGACGCTGGGCATGGCAGGGGCGGGCGGAGGGATGGGGCTTTCCGCGGGGGCAGGCGCGGGGGCTAGCGCGGGGTTGTCTCGAGCGATGAACCCGGCAGGCGCGCTGGGCATGTCGACGGTAGGGGGAGCGCGCGCGCTGGGATCGGTAGGGTTGGGGGGAAGTGTAGGTGCGGTGGGCGTGCAGGGGCCTGGGCGGCCGTTGGGAACCGGAATGATCTCCGGGCAGGGGCAGGGGCAGCAGCAGCAGCAGGCGCAGCAGCAGCAGATGTTGGCGTTAGGGTTGCAATCACAGGGGCAACATCATCATCAGCAGCAGCAGGTGGGGGTTGGACAGCAGCAGCAGCAGCAGCAGCAGCAGCAAGGGCAAGGGGGCCAGCAGGGGTTGCAAGCTGGGACGTACCAGCCGTCAGGAGACGTAATGGCTATGATCAACCGCGGTGAGTGCGAGACTGCTTCGTCCGAGCTTTTGTCGATCCTTGAGTTTTTTAGTCTGCCTTGCATTGATTGCCGCTGCCTGGTGTCAACAATCCGCTTTCTTTTCCTCGCCTCTTTGATGTGCAGCTGGTACGCCTGCGGGCATGCTCTCCAGCAACAGCTACCTGCAATCCCAACAGCAGCAGCAGCAGCAGCTGTTGCAGCAGCTGAAGCAGATGGGTGCAGTCAACGGGCAGCTAGGTCCATCGTCGTTGCTCCTCGACCAGCAGCAGGAGCACATGCAGCAGCAGGGACAGCAGGGGCAGGGGCAGCTGCAGGGAGGGTCATTGTTGCTACAGAAGCAGGGGCAGGCGCAGGGAGAGAGCAAACGGGACGGGTCGAAAGGGGAGGGCGAGCAGGGGGAGGAGTCAAGGCAGGGAGGGCAGGATCAGGAGCAATTGGGCGGGAGAGGCGAGCAGCGAGAGGGGGGTGGGGCAGCGTTTGACATGAGCGAGTTTCCCACGCTCAACACGAGGCCGCCTGGGAGTGCAACCATGGCGTCAGGTCGGCAGTAGAATTAGGCATGCTGCGTCCGACGCACCTGCTTTATCTGCTCCATTCCCATGTTTAGCGTTCTCTTTTTTCTCTTCAACTGCTATGTGTTCTTGCCCCGCAGTCAAGTCATGGTTATTCCTCGCCCCCCTCATGCACACCCTCCCAACCTTTTCACCTGCACCCATCAGTCAACTTTCTCACACGCTGCCCTCATCCCTCTTAATTCTGCTCCTTCAACCCCGCATCTGTGCTGCTCTCAATCCCCTCAGGTGCAGGGTCGGCAGCAGCGGCGGTGCTAAGGAAAGGGGCTCCACTGAACGCGCTGCTACACCAAGGGGGCCCGGAGTTCAGCATACAGAACGAGGACTTCCCTGCCCTGCCCGGCCTCAAAGGTGCGTGTGCCTTGCCCGGCTGCACTGGTGGGTAAGTGCTTGCCTAGGTCTGCATGTGTGTCCTTCTTTCATGGTGTTTGCGTGAATTTCGTATGAGTCTGCTGCTGCTGCTGCTGCCTCTGCTGCTGCTGTGGTGTAAACTGCAAGCCTGAGCTTGAGATTTCAGGAGGCCTTTGATTGACTCTTTCTCTCTTTCCTGCTTGCTTTCGTCTGCCTGCTGCTTGTTCCTGCAGCGGGTGCGGACAACGGAGGGGACAAAGACAGTTCCGCACAGCAACAGCAGCAGCAGGGCGCAGGAGGGTCGATCAGAAGCCACTTGGACATGCTTCAGCAGCAGCAGCAGCAGCTGCAGCACCTCAGCTTGCATGACAACCCCCACCTCCACCAGTACCACCAGCACCACCACCAGCAGGGGCAGCAGCAGCAGGGGGGGCATTTGAAGCACCTAGATCAGCGCATGCTCTCGTCCCCTCCGCCCCTGAATGCACCGGGTGCTCCCAGTAGCTCCATGCTTATCCTGCAACGATCTGCCAGCCCTAGCCCTTCTCTCCAGCAGCAGCAGCAACAGCAGAAACAGCAAGAGCAGCAGCAGCAACAGCAACAGCAACAAGAGCAGCAGCAGCACCAGCAGCAACAGCAGCAGGAGCAGCAGGACGAGCAGGCACGGGGGGCAGAGGGATCTAGTTTGCGGCACGCGGACGGCTCTGGAAACGTTCTGTTAGGGCAGGGAGGGGGTAAGGCTGGAGAGCAGCAAGGCTCGGCACCTGGTTCTCGATCCAATACACCTGGTCTCACGGGCCCCCAGCAGCAGGCTCAACCAGGAAGCGGGCAGGTGGGAGCAGGGAAGGAGCAGGGTGTAGAAGGGCCGGATAAGTACGGGCTGCTGGGGCTGCTTAGTGTGATTCGGATGAGCGATCCAGATTTGACTACGCTGGCGCTGGGGACCGATCTGACGACTCTCGGGCTGAATCTGAACTCGCGGGAGAATCTGTACCGCACGTTTGCATCGCCGTGGGCGGATGGGCCGACGAGAGCTGAGCCGGAGTTCAGCCTCCCGGCTTGCTACATTCAACCCACGCCTCGTCTTCAGGTCAGTCAGTGCCGGCTCTGCCTGTGTAGGCGCCTCATAAATAGTGGAATAGAGTTCTAGATGGACGGGACCTGATTAGAGCTTAGCCGGGGTTTAGCCTGCTGGCTTGCTGCATCCAACACATGCCCCGTCTGCAGGTCCGTCAGTGCTGCTACTTCTTTAATCCGTGTTCTTTTGGTAGCATCAAGCCGTGCATCCTCATTCCTCTCCCACTGTCTCGCACCGTCCCCTTTCGCCCTGTGTTTTCCCACGCCCTCTCCTACTCTCGCGCTCGTCTGTGTGACTGCAGCCGGGTTACTTCTCCAAGTTCCAGCAGGACACGCTCTTCTATATATTCTACAGGTGAGCTCTAAAGGTTTTTAAAGATTTATGAGGGTTGACATTTTGAGCCTAAGGGCCAAGTCTTTGAGCTTTGGGTTTTGCTGAGCTTTAAGTTTTGAGCTTTGAGCTTTGTGGTTTTGTGGCTCTGGTAAAGAGCTGCGTTGTATACATGATAGTTAGCCATGGAGGATGGGTAGGTGGGTGGATGTTGCCCGACAAACGCCCATCCCGCCCACCAGCACTGACTTGTTCCCATCTCTCTCCTTCACTACGGCTGCTGTTTCCCAGCCGATGGCTCATACTCCAACTCTCCGTCCTCCCACCTCCCACCCCTTCCTCCTTGCCTCCTGCCTTCACCTCACCATCCCTTTTCCTCTGTAATGCTGTCGTTCGCCCCCTTCCCCCTCGTACTTTTGCGTTTGTGTTTCCTGTGTGTGATGCCTCCCTGCTCTGCCTGCGCAACAGCATGCCGCATGACGAGGCGCAGCTGTTCTCTGCTGATGAACTGTGAGTGCTCTGCATTGCATCTCCCATCTCGCATCCCACATTTTGCATCTCTCATCTCGCATCTCATATTTTGACACCCCTTGCATGGCAGATCTTGCACATACAATTTGCGCATAGACAGGCATATTATACTGCCTGCTATGCACCCATGCATGCACTCTCCTGTACATGCATGCAGCCGTAGCACTTCACGCGTCAAACAATGTAGTTTACCTAAAAAAAAAAAAAAAAAAAAAAAACCATGCCTACAGCAAGAAGTTCAGTACATAGCACCCTTGCCTTCCCTGCGTTATCTCACCCATCTCACCCCTCCCTACATCCTCCCGGCAGGTGCAACCGCGGGTGGTTCTACCACAAGGAGCACCAGGTGTGGTTCACACGCGTGCCCAACAGCGAGCCCGTGGTGAAGACCCCCACCTACGAGCGCGGCTCCTACTACTTCTTTGATCCCACCGTGTGGGAGACCGGGCGCAAGGTGAGCGTGGGAGACACAGGCAAGAAGTTGAGTAGGGGGAGGCAGGGGCAAGGGACAGGGGGGTGAAGACCCCCACATACGAGCGAGGCTCCTACTACTTCTTTGACCCCACCGTGTGGGAGACCGGGCGCAAGGTGCGTGTTTTGGGGAAAGGAGGGAGGTGAGAGCGGGCTTTGAGGTGGGGGAAGGCAGGGGCAAAGGACAGGGAGGAATGCTCTCGGTCCGTGGTGAAGACCCCCACGTGCGAGTGCGGCTCCTACACCTACTTTGATCCCACCGTGTGGGAGACAGGGCGCAAGGTGAGTGGTGTGGGGAAAGGAGGGAGGTGAGAGGGGGCTTTGAGGTGGGGGAAGGCAGGGGAAAAGGACAGGGAGGAATGCACTGGGTCAGTGGTGAAGGCCCCCACGTACGAGCGTGGCTCCTACTACTACTTTGATCCCACCGTGTGGGAGACCGGGCGCAAGGTGCGTGTTTTGGGGAGAGGAGGGAGGTGAGAGCGGGCTTTGAGGTGGGGGAAGGCAGGGGCCAAGGACAGGGAGGAATGCACTCAGTCGGTGGTGAAGACCCCCACGTACGAGCGCGGCTCCTACTACTTCTTTGATCCCACCGTGTGGGAGGCAGGAAGGTGAGTGGTGTGGATCTCAAGACAGGCAAGAAAGTGAGAAAGGGGGGCAGGACCACTGTGTGCTACAGCACGAGATGCTCCTGGCCTATTTCCAGCTATCGAGGTGACTTTTGAGTCGACCCAAAAGACAGGCAAGAAAGTGAGAAAGGGGGGCAGGACCACTGTTTGCTACAGCACAAGATGCCGTAGCCCCATTTCCAGCTATCGATTTCTGTCTGCAGCACATTGAGGGTTCACCCCTTACTCACTCTTCCCTGCTTTCCCCTACCCACCTTCCCACACACCTCAGGACAACGTGGTGGTGCTACAGTGCGAGATGCTAGAGACCCGTCCCCAGCCCTTGGCTCTTTTCATAACACTCTTCTTCCCTACCCTCTTCTCCTCTCTTTCTCCACCCTCTCCCTCTCCCCCTCCCCCCCCCCCCCCCCCCCCTCTCCCCCCCACTTCAACATCCTCAGGACAACTTTGTGCTACAGTATGAGATGCTAGAGGCCCTTGGCTCTTCTCATAACACACTGACATGCCAACCTTCCCCGCTCTCTTCTGCTCTCCTCCTCCCCTCCTCCCCCCCCCCCCCCCCCCGCCCCACCACCCCGCAACATCCTCAGGACAACTTCGTGCTACAGTACGAGATGCTAGAGGCGCGTCCCCAGCTGCCCATTCCCTCTTGCTACACTCTGGTGTCTTCCTTTCTCAACCACTCCTGCCCGTGCCCCTTCCTCCCCGCAACATCCTCAGGACAACTTCGTGCTACAGTACGAGATGCTAGAGGCCCGTCCCCAGCTGCCCATTCCTCCCCAGCGATAGTGCAGCTGCTGACCTCGGCCAGGCGGGCAGGGGCTTAAGGTTTTGGGATTGCACACAGGAGGAGGAGGTGGAAGAGGACAGGAGGTGGCTGTGAGGGCTGGACTTGCGATGCAAGTGACAGGGATGCTTCTATGTTTTGGTCTTAATGCATGAGAGAATCAATAACGAGGGTTTGGGAGGGAGGTTTGGAGAGTGGATAAATTTGTGGGTGGCAGAGGTACAGTAGTCGGTCGGTGATTTGATGGAGCGAGATTCGAGGGATAGGAGGAATGGGTGCGATGCGAGGAGATGGCGGGAGAGCGTCAAAGAGTGCAAGTGATTGCATCATCGTCTCCCCTCATCATCATCATTGATAGTAGTCACTCCACTCATTCTTAGTCACTAACATCACATCTGCTTGATTGTGGTTATTGCCCAATGCTCACCATTTTCGAGCTTCGGAGGGTCTCTGTCAGACCCCTCTGAAATGTCTATTTTTCTCGTTCTAAACATGTAGGCGCGTTTTGACAAGTCTGTGCAAGCTTCAGTATTACTTTCTAATGAAAGCCATTATGCTTCATGTTACACAAACTGCAAAGTCGCATCGCTGTTGCCGCGATTTCAGAACGCGTTCAGTCTCGGTTTCATTTCGGTTGCTAAATGCCAGTACGATCAAGAGTGGCGCATTCTGTAATAAATTGCTAGGCGAAATGACCCCAGATGAGACGACCCGAGGCTTCAATGGAAAAGTACGAAAGTACGACAGTGAAAGTACGAGCAAAAGTTCTGGGGTCTTGTTTTGTGTCGGTCATCTGTATGAGTTCTGAGCGTTACTGCTCGGTGCTAGTCGCTAAAGGTTTTGAAGCTGTATTGGTCCCGCCAGTGATTATGGTCGCCATAACTGCTACATCTTTCTCCACTTCACCGCCGTCGCCTGTCTAGCTCCTCTCGTCCGCGTGCCTCCTCCGGAGAAGCCATGGCGGCTTCCGCGGAGCGTGCCGCGTACGCGTTTCACGCGGCGTCGCCGTGTCTCCGTTACAGCGGAACTGGCGCGGCGGACAACTCTAGTTTCTCCGCATCTTCCGCGTTCGCCATAGTCCCGTTATCCAGCCGCGTCGCTTCCCTCCGCATCGTTTCCCGCGCGCCATTGCGCCGATCCGCTCTTAGCCCGCCCACCTTTGTCGCGCGCGCTGCTTCCCGCCAACAGCCGGAAGAGCATGTGGGGGAGATAGCGCGCGGAGATATAGAGGTTAGGGGGGAGAAAGTGCGTTTAGCGGAGAGAAACGGCGGAATGAGAGTAGAAAATAGGAACGCAAGCTTAAAGAACGGCGGAGAATCGAGCAGAGAGGGAAATGAGCGACGGTTGGAGCGTGAGAATCGGTCGGAGGAGCACGAGAGGCGGTCCGAACCGCAGGGGAAGGTTCGTAAGGGAATGGCAGTTACGAGGCGTCAGGTTCTCGCAACTGCCGCTGCGGCTGCTGCTGCAGGGGGGATTGCTGAACGCGCAGCAGCAGCAGGGCTGGTGATACCGGGAGGGAGGAGTTGGAGGGGAGGAAACGGATTAGGGTTTGTGGAGGGAGAAGAGAGCGGGGGAGTGGAGGGGAAGGGGCGCGGGGGAGCGGGGACGAGTGTGGGATCCGCGCTCGATAGCTTATCGGAGCGGGTGTGCACGTTCACGCTTGCGAACGGCATGCGTTGGATTGTAGTGGAGCGGCGGGCGGCGCCGATTGTCTCGTGCCACACGTATGCTGACGTGGGGGCGGCAGACGAGGCGGATGGGAGCACGGGCGTGGCGCATCTATTGGAACATCTGGCGTTTAAAGGCACCCCCGTTATAGGAACGAGAGACGCCCAGAAGGAGGCTCGGCTGCTGGAGCTTGTAGACGAAGGTGAGTGTAGAGAGAGAGAGAGAACTCTAGAATGAAGGTGAGTGTAGAGAGAGCTTTAGATTGAAATGTTCAATAATATTGAAGACCTTATAAAATTGAGAATGGGCGGAACTAGGCTGAGGTGAAAATATGTCAAATCAGTCTGTCAAAAGCGCTGCCTCTCTCTCAAACCTCCTCCCCAGGTTCCACCCCTTTCCCCCAGTGGAGTAGTCTCCCGAGTGACCACCTTTTCCCCCATTACCTTCCCCTCCTCCACTCATCTCCGTCCCCACCTCTCGCCTTCCACCCCCCGCCGCGCAGCATTTTACGGGCTGAAGGAGGCGCGGGAGGGCGGGGCAGCAGAGGGCACGGTCAAGCGGCTGGAGGATGAATTCGTGAGTGCACATGCTGAATGAAGCAAATCTTCCAACGCCCTTCCCCTCTGTCCCAGTACCATCTCCTTTGTTTCTCGAGCCTCCGTCTTGCTTGTCATGTGAGTCGTTTGAAATGGGCAGCAGAGGGCATGGTCAAGCGGTTGGAGGACGAATGAATTCGTGAGTGCACATGCGGAATGAAGGTTCTTGTAAGCTCTTATTCTCAAGTCCGAATACTCAAGTTTGAGTGTTCAAGTCTGAATGTTCAAGTCTTCCCTACGCTCCTCCCTGCGCTGTCCCACTCTCCTTCTCTCTGCCCCTCCTCTGGTACCTTCCAGGCGCGCCTTCAGCAGCAAGCAGCGGAGCTGTCTGTTCCACCAAACGCGTTCAAGTCTTCTCTACGCCCTTTTCTACGCTGCCCCACTCTCCGTCACTCTGCCCCTCATAGGTGCCTTCCAGGCTCGTCTGCAGTAGCAGGTAGCGGAGCTGTCCGTTCCAAATTCGTTTGGCGCTCTGGTGTTGCGGGAAGAGCGTGTGGGCTTCAACGCACATATGCATGCATGCATGCATGCAAGCTGCACGGGGGACAACCTTCCGTGCACTGCACCACTCTTCCCCACTCTGCTGTTCTCCGTGCAGGCTCGTCTGCAGCAGCAGGCGGCGGATTTGTCTGTTCCAAACGCCTTTGGCGCATTGGTGTCGCGGGAAGGGGGCGTGGGGCTCAATACTTGTACGCATGCATCCAAGCTACACAAACAACACCCTTCTCTATGCTGCTCCACTCTGTTCTCCCTGCAGGCTCGTCTGCAGCAGCAGGCGGCGGAGCTGTCCGTTCCAAACGCGTTTGGCGCCCTGGTGTCGCGGGAAGGGGGCGTGGGACTCAATGCGACCACCAGCCAGGACTCCACACGTGCGTGGGTGGGGGGGAGGGAAGAAGGGTTAGAGAGGAGAAGAAGGGAAGAGAGGAGTATGTGAGAGAGAGAGGGAGGTTGAGGAAGAGGCGTGGGGCTCAACGCGACGACCAGCCAGGACTCCACACGTGCGTGCGAGGGGAGAAAGTGGGAACAGATAGGGGAAAGGAAAGGGAGGGTGGCAGGGTTGTAAGGGTGTGTGAGGGGCACCTATGAAGTCGGGAAGGGGGCGTGGGGCTCAATGGAACCACCAGCTAAGATGCCACACGTGCGTGGATGGGTGGGGGGGAAGGGGAAGGGTTAGGAAAGTAGGGTGGTTATATAGGCACCCTTAAGGTCGAGAAGGGGGCATGGGACTCAACGCGAGCACCAGCCAGGATTCCGCACGTGAGAAAGCGAGGAGAGGGAGAATGGCCTGAGAACAAGCTTGAGCTCTGGATGGCGCTTGTCACTTGAGCGGCTGCCTCCTTGCTTCAACACTGCGGTCCCCGCGCGTCCCCTCCTCCTCTTCCCACGCTCGGATATCATATCAGCCCATCTCACCCTTCTCCCCATGCCTTCCTTCGTCCCCTCCCACCAGAGTACTTCGTCTCTCTGCCCACCAACAAGCTTGGGCTCTGGATGGCGCTTGAGAGCGGTCGGTTCCTTTCATAGACTGTGCTTTCCCCACAACTTTCAGCTTTCAACTTGTCTCTCTGTTCACCCCCCTCCTTCCCTCACCCCTTCCCCACAGAGTACTTCGTCTCGCTCCCCGCCAACAAGCTCGAGCTCTGGATGGCGCTTGAGAGTGGAAGGTCCTGCATGGACTGTGATCTCCGCACATCTCCTCCTGCCCTTCCCTCACCCCCTCCCTCCCACCAGAGTAGTTCGTCTCTCTGCCAGCCAACAAGCTCGAGCTCTGGATGGCCCTTGAGAGCGGCCGGTTCCTGGCTGCAGCCGTGTTCTCCATCCCCACTACTCCTATGTTCTTTCTCATCTTCAGGTTTCCCACCCTCCCTCTCTCCTCCTCCATTCCCTCCCACTGCACCAGAGTACTTTGTCTCCCTGCCCGCCAACAAGCTTGAGCTTTGGATGGCGCTTGAGAGCGGCCGGTTCCTGGCGCCCGTGTTCCGCGAGCTGTACAGTGAAAAGGAGGTGAGGGGGAAGGGAGTGAGGTGAAGGATGACGCATGGGGTGGAAAGGAAACAAAGGTGGAGGGTGATAAGGGGTCTAGAGTCTAGAGCGGTTGAGAGCGGCCGGTTCCTGGCACCTGTGTTCCGCGAGCTGTACAGCGAGAAGGAGGTGAGGGGGTTGGAGGTGGGGGAAAATGTGGGTGGGGGGGAATGGGATGAGGCAGGGATGAACCCATCTGGCCGACCCATCTCGCAGTAGGAATGCACCCATGTCAATTTCGTTGCACCGCACTGCACCCACCGCATCAGGCTGTGGTGAGGGAGAAAGGAAGGGCGTCCGCACATAGACAACACCCCCTAAGGTCGCTGCACGGAAGCTTTTGCTCAGCCCAGGCGTTTCCCTCTCAGTAGAGCACATAAACTCGTTTCTACTTTGCTGCACCGCACTCAACCACATCACGCTGCTCCCAACCACATTGCACCGCACTCAACCATGCCAGGTGGTGAGGGAGGAGAGGGGGTTACGCATCGACAACACGCCCTACGGTCGAAGCCTTTGTGCAGCGGGCGTTCCCCTCCCAGTAGAGCCCATAAACTCATTCAAGCTTCAATACACCGCACTCAACCACACCGCACCTCAACCTAATCACAAACTGCACACCCCACCGCACCAGGTGGTGAGGGAGGAGAGGCGGTTGCGCATAGACAACACGCCCTACGGCCGCTTCACAGAGGCCTTTGCTCAGCGGGCGTTTCCCAACAGCCCCTATGGACGCCCCACCATTGGATACCGT